ACCAATTTTAGCTGTCAATATTAAAATATTATGGTGCAATTAATAAAGAATCAGAATAGTGGAATATGATAACAAATATAAGTGCTTGTACTCATAAACTTGCATGCTACCTGTGAAAAATGTGAAGTCAAAGCTATAACAGATGAATGAAGAATTTCATATTGTTCTTCTAAGTATCCAACTTTATTGTTTTCACTAAAAAACCAAATTTTGACATTTCATAATTTTGTTTTATGTATAATAATATATCAATTGTAGAGTTAAACATATTATCTATTTGTTAATTTTAACTAAGCAGCTATTATCATAAAACAATACTCCACATCTAATAATTATATTAGGAAAAAAGCAAAAATTGAACAGGCCATTGTTTAGCATAAATAAGTTATAAGTAATAACTAAAGGTAGTCAATCTTACTATTTTATTATATTAATGATTTTAAATGAATGAATAGGTTATAAATCAATTAATATCAAACAGAAAAGTATGTATTTATATTTGATGTCTATACATTAAAATAATTGATAACTTGATGAGAAATTTTACAACAGTAAAAATTATAATAACAATTTTTAATTGAATTTATAGAACATTTGATTGCAATCTTTAAATTTATAACTAACCGAATATTTCAGATTAAATGAATTTAAATTTATATTAAGAAGGAGTTTTCAAAAAAAAAAACTGCGCTGGCTATTTATTCCTCATTTACTCCACTTTATTTACACTATCAATACCTAAAGTAGGTTTTTACTATTATTTTAGTCAGAATACAGTCTAGTCTAGTTAAGGATCATAGATAGTGAATTGTATTTTTTAAAAAAATTAATCATATACGCTGAGCAATAGACAACATTTAATTTTTTTGAATGTTCTAAACTACCATACTTAAATCAGAAGTTAAGGTTTTACAATTTTCAATCAAGGTAATACAAATCATATGGTGGTACTTATAAATATAATAAACATATTGTATTTTAAGACTTGGTGCTATAAAATGCTATATTTTCTATAAGTACCTATAAGTCTAATTCAGGATTTATGCAAATAACCTGTACTTACTACTAATATTTAAATTTAATAATGGGATTATTATTATTTTTTGAACTTTCATATTTTAATCATTTATTTACCTTTTCAAAACATTCTAAAAATAATGAAACTAAAAACAAAATATTTAAATAGTTTGAGTAATTTAATCGTAGAACTTACTTCCAATTCGTGTGACTCGTTTCACAAAACGAGTAAAGTGCATTGTCGTGGTCATCTGCAGCTATATCTGTTCGGTTACAATTATGGAGGTTTATGTTGCTGTCATCATTTGCCTTTATGATTTCCATCGTACAATCAGCTGACATTAAAATAATTGTTTTTTTTTTTTAAATTAACTTAAGAAAATGTTGTTCAATATGGCAATTAAATGGTTGGATAGTTAAAAATTATATTTAAAAGTGTTTTGGGTGAAGAGTTAGTTATAATTGATTTTTTGTTTTTTTGCTTTAAATTGTCAGGCTTTACGAACTTTACCCTATGCGGCGGAAAAAAATAAAAGATATTTGTCTTATATTTTATATAAACACTGGAAATTGATGTTTGCTATAACAAGTTCGCTATCAAACTGTCATACATAAGCGATTCGGTAAAAGAACACTAAATACGCAACCCACACGTTTGTCAGTTGCAGCTGTTAACACTATATAGCAGCCTATGTGGTATAGGGAGGGCCTATCGATTTTTTGTATGACGTCAGCGACGGGTTCCCAAAGTTCGGATTCGACTCGATGCATAGTATCGTATAGTACTGCAGTAGGTACCGACGTTGTCAAGCACAATTTATAATAATACGATAGTTGTATGCAACCTAATGAAGTCAATGGAAAATAATTAAATAGATTGCACGCGCGAGGACTTAAATGGAATATTTTCGTGAATAAGTGGAATATAATTTAAGTAGATATATGTTGCTTTCGCGCTTCTAAAATCACGTCAAATAACATAATTGTTTATGTAGAGTAAATAATTTATTGACTAAATTATCGACTAATAATATGTAACAATATATAATATATGATGTATATAAGTATATTTCATATCATAACTTATAAGTAGATTGTCTATAATTATTACATTTTGCTTTGGGTTAAACAAATATAAGCTAAAATCATTAAAGCGATCAGAATTATTATACTATATAGGTTGTCCGCCTAGTTATACTATTCATTTTACATTTATATTAATTTAGAAATAATAGTTAAGATACTGTTAAGACATATTATACATATTTTTTATAAAAGTACCCATTTGTATAAAGGTACTTATAAATTATTGTGGTTGGATGTGATATACCTAATTGAGGAAAAAATATACTTACTTGCTAAACAATAACTATAATATCAAAGTAAATTATAAACTACCCGCATATGTCCTTATTTACATAATTATACTAGGTAGGTACCTAGGTATATAATTTTAAGTTAAATTATATTAATTTTAAAACTAATCACTATCCATAATATTTTGGGTTCCATCAACATAGAAATGTTTTATATACTTAATAGATGCATTCAATTCTTAGATTTTGAGAATTACAATGAATTTTTAATAATAAAATCACTTAGTGTCAACATAGTGTCACTTAAAATAGTTTTTCGATCTTGCCGATAAAGTTTTTATTTGAGAATCAGTAAAAAATAATAAACTACAAACCATTATGAAGAAACCTCAGAAAGTTAGATCCTTACGGAGTTACATATTTTATAAGTATCGTCATAGTGAGTAAATTATAATATAAAACCAAACCAAACACGGTTAGGTTATTGTATTGATTTACTTCGAATTGATAAAAAAATTATTATTAACCTACCTATCTAAGATATTACATTATTTATGTTCAAATTGCATTTATTAAGTTCACAAAAAAATTAAATTATAAGAACTAAAAGATAACATGAAAAGCAAACGACTACTATATGTATTTTATAATTAAGGATCAAATTAAATAAACATTTCACCGTTGTATTATTTATTTTGATTTTAGAACTCTTAACAGACAGCATTTGAAATTAAAGTTTATTACAATAATTGTAGTGTAAAAATCAGGAAAGCCGATCTGCTGTAAAGCAGGTGCCTTCAGATTTTGAGTATGTTTGAGAAGTCTTCATCATTGATTAGGTAACTGTAATGGATATGTTAAATTATAATACAATTATAAACTATTATATAGGGTACACGAAAAACGACTGAGTAAAAACGGTATAATAGCCGCTATTTTGTAGGAAACTTTATATAGTTTATTTATATTATAAAATATAGTGTAAGTAATTTTATTCTATTAGTAACACAGTAAGTTAAATTCATTTTTTCCAAAAAGAAAAAGTATATTAGACCATGTAGAATTATTGATATTAACTAAGTTAATTATAAATGCCGAATTGCTAATGTTCCGTAAAATTATGGTGTGAAAAGATCGTGGTATAAAAAGTCAAATCTAATTACTTCGAAAATGTCATAGTGCGGTGGTGAAGAGTTTCAAGTCTCTACGCATAATAATTTTTCGAATTACAAAAAAATAACTAAAATCAGTATTTTTGCTTAAATGTTCAAAAAAGTTAAGTTTTATTTATTCATAAATTAGAAGTACTAAGAGGAAAGGTGGAACTATAAAAATGTTATAAAATATACAAAAAAAAACATGGATGTCATAATAATATATTATTACGCCAAATAAATCAGAGGAACTACAAAACCTTGTTACGAACAGTTCAAATTAAATTTGATATATTATGGCCATACATTTTAGAATGAAATACAATAATATTTTAACAATTATAATAATATTTGATAAAAGATAAATTATATTCAAACCATTTTTACCTGAATGTTGAATTATAACTTATAAGTATGTGTCTATGTATTGAGGAACCTTTATTTCTTTACAGGCGTATTTTACACCTAATGTATTTTGAATGCGTTCATAAAAAAACGTTTATATAACGCAATAAAACAAAACATTTTTACTAATATATTATGTTTAGTGTAAAATACATAAAAAATGCATTGCGAAGGTTTTTTTTATATTTTATCGAAATATACTTCTAAACGTTGAGCTTAGCGATGGATATATTGGGTTAATAATATGTTTATTTTGTGTCTGTAGTCACATTTAGAAGCAGCAAAAATGCTTCTATCTTCAACTCTGAGCGGGATTTCTGCGGTAACATGTTGGATCTAGTTGGTATCTAGTGGTCAAAAGTTTAAAACTATAAGAAATTAGCATTAGCTATAGTTATGAATTAATTTAGACTATTTAAGTGTGTATATCTAATCTGGAAATCTTATGAATGAATAGCTTACTTTTAGTCGGTGCGTGACGTACGGACTACGACGGCCTAATTCAATGACATAATATTATTATAATCATTATTGTTTTCAAACAATTCAAAATTGCATTGAAGTATGATATCGACGGACGAAACTGTACGACTTCAATAAGATAGATTTTAATTTTAATTTCATTAGACCAGCTTGTCGTGTTTTTATTCAAGTAATTTTTAATAGATTATACAATAAGTGATCCCTATAAGCTATAAGTGTAAGTTTGTTTTTGTACAATCATCAATAATATTTTTCAATTAAAAAAACAAATATTCAAAATCATTTGGATTAAAACATGGTATCTATCCTTGTTAATGAATCAGAATCGTTTTCTCAAAATTAAATCCATTTTGCTGGCTACTATATTAGTGCTTTACAATATTGTCAACCTACAATATTTCCTTTTTTATGATCTAAGATCTACATAAGTAATTTGTAAGTTTATATTGCAAAACGTATTCAATTGTTTCATCAATAATTACAATAAATGATTGTATTACTTAAGTGTAACTTAAACTGTTTTACTTAAGTGCTTATCAAAGCATATTATTATATTATGTTTCTGAAATAGGTATGAATGTATGATAATAAAGTATAGATTACAGATATACTCAAATAGACGATTGCATTTTATTATTTAGGTATATTACAATTTATAACAACATAAATAAATCGTATTATTTATAATATATTAAAATTTAAAATGTACAGTTGTACAGTTTTGTAAAAATCGCACTATTTGTTTACATAATAAATAGGTATAGGTATAGTACATATTTTGTAAATTTACAGCAGATTCAAGTGTACCAACATAACATAACATAGGTGGCATAGTATCGCAGTATAGACAAAATAGGTAGTACAAAAAATACGTATTAATATAATTTGAGCGTAGGTATAGGTGTAATATACGCTGCGATGTTTACACTTTACACGTCAATACGTGCATAGGAAATCATAATTGTAATATACAGAGTGATTAACCAAGCATGCTCACCCTCATTTATTCATATATTTCAGAATTTATTCAAAGTCTTAGTTTTGGAATTTATAATCAAAGACAATACTTTCAAACTCAAGAATTTGTTTGTACCTACTTACTATAGGCACTTATGCGTTTTGGTGATACATCTTTTATAAGTACTTAAAACAAAAAAATTCTAGGATCTTAAAAAATGGTCTTTGCCCTTTGAGTAATACATTTAAAAATTCCAAAAATTATATTTTTAACTATATTTTTTAATGAAAGTAAAAGGGGATGAGCATTTTTGGGTAATCACCCTGTATACAGTCGTAGTACAGGTACTTCAGTGTCAAGAGGAACAGAATATTTTACTTTGAAATTATAATTAATAATTAATAATACACTTATATGCATTGTACTTTATATGTATAAACATCATAAAATTATAATTAGTTATATTGATAGAATGCATACAAAAAAAATGTTAAAGAAATAAAAAAAGTTTAACGGATAACTATTTTTAAAGTATTACCTAAGCAGATTAGCAAAAGACGAAATTAATTTCAATATACAACAATTTTAGTAAAATATTTATAACACAATCTTCAAACAATAAGTGATTATTACCATATCATATAAATGTGACATAATTTTTTCAAATATGTATAAATGTTCTTAATTTAGAAACCTGTGTTAAAAATAGTAAAACATCATTGTGTTATTTTAGTAATTTATCAAATGTGCATCATGACATTGTCACAGCCAAACTCATAAATATTTTAGAAAAATCTTAAAATGTTCTCCATTAAAAGAACCTAAGTGTATATAAAACAAATCCATGTCCATAGATTTTTCCTGAGAATTTAATAAAAAAAATTATTGTGAGTGTTTTTATTTATATTTATAAGATTTTCAAATAATTTAGTTGAGTTTTTACTCGATAATTTTTTAGTGAAATATTTGTCACTTTACAACCTGCAGGTATCACATATATTATCCACTAGTCACAACCTTAAACTGTATTTTTTTAAATGTTTAATATTGATCGATCTTAGACGCGTAATAATTAATAACTAATAGTCATAATTTATAATATCATTATTATTACTTTTTAAATACTTTACACGAAAGGTAAACCTACAAGGTACACCACATAAAGGATATCGAAAATCTAATGGCAAGTATTTTCGCGATGGTGGGTGCAGTAGATATAATAATAATTGAAAAAATAATATTCTAATGATGATATTATGGATCATCTGCAGTGTGCTGCAGCACCTGCACTCTGCTGCAGTTGTGTGCAACGCGTACTGCGCTTATGGTAGGTATGCGTCAGCTGCAGGTACCATCGCAGCACGGTCGCGTTATACCTACGCAGCGACTGCAGCAACCTTAGCCTACTTCGTAGCCGAAGATGTTTTGCAAGTTGTAGTTGAACAGCTTGAAGTCGAGCTCAAACGTGCTGTACAGCCTGAGCACGGTGTCGTGGTCCAGCGGTGTGAAGTACTTGACCAGCTGCGTGGATGTGTTGGAGTCGGGACCCTTCGGGAACCGGACGTCGGTCGCGCCCACGACGTGCCTGAGTAGGTAGTCCGAGTCCTCGAACAGCGACTCGTGTTTGCCGATGAAGTCGTAGTTGACGACGCACGGCCGGCACAGCCTGTCGATGGGCGCCCAATGTTCGTTGAACACCGTCTCACGTGTGTCGGCCACGAACGAGGCGAACTCGGCGAACGTCACGTCGTCGCCGTCCCGCAGCGACTGCTCGGTGGCGTTGGCTCGGTACCGCCTTATGATGCGCCGCCCGAACCGCGACTGGAAGTACCGGGAACTTTCTTGGTGCCGCTGCTCCAGCTTGTTCCGGTATGCCGACAGCAGCCGCTCGAACGGGTGCCGGACGAACAGGAACTTGGTGTATGTGGCCAGCATGTCGGCCACCTGGGCCGCAGGGTAGTCACTCAGCCTGTCCAGCGTGCTGGGCTTGTGCACCACGTCCGCCGGGATCTGCGACAGGTCCGGTGCTCCCGGCTGCGCGTTCCCCGACAGTACCATGAACACACGTTTCCAGTTGGTGCATGCAACCTGTAGGATCACATGGTTAATATTAATAATGCACACATATAGTTATACGCTGAGGATTAACAAATCAAAAAGTTGACTTGCTTTTAACTATTAGTTACACATAACTGTATAACGAGTTAAAATTTGATCCCTTAAAAAATTAACTTATCAATACAATTAATAGCTTCTGTTAGTTAAGGGTCTACCACTGAATGGCTTCCAGGCCTCTCCTTTTGGTATTTTTTCATTTATCCTTAATAATTATGAAATATGTTTACTTTATATATTGGATTCTGAGTGGAGTGATGAGTTATGTATTGATTTTACAATGGTGTGTGTGTTTTTTTATTTTTTGTATGTAAAATATTTCTAGTAAAAATAATGATTCGATTTTCAACTTCAGCATCTTTTTTGATAGAGAAGTGAATAAAGTTTAAACTTTTATGAGGTAACAATTTAAAAACCACGGTAGTTTCCAAAAGCGTCGGGAAAATAAAAACAAATCAAATGAAACCGGGGATTTTTAAGCGATACCAGTTTTAACAAAATCGATTTAGGTTTTTTGACTAATTAAAAAACTAATAACCATAGATACTTTAAATTTTCATCAGATGTTTTGTATTAGTATTTTCTATACACCACCATACAATTTTCAAATCTTGATTCCTTTTGACTTTTGAGCTATTTAAAGAATAAGAAAATTTTGATTTTTATTAGTTTTTTTAAAATTATTATTTATATTTTCGCTCGTACAAAAAACTTGAAAATGTAATATAGGATTCCCCACAAGTTATTGATAGTTAAAATTAAAAAAATTTGATCGTAAATTCACAATAATTATTTTTGAACGTCTGAATTGAAATGTTGACAAAATCTGTCAAAATCACAAACATTTGCAAAATTATTTCGAATTAGAAATTCATAAGAATGTTTCTATTTAAAATTAAGATTTTAAAATTGAATACATGATTGTTCATAAGTTTTTCTACCTTTAACAAAAAAAATGTTACTTGCAATAATATCATAAAATACACTATAGTATTATAGGCTGTCTTCGCTCAGAATCGTTTTTCGTAGAAAATGATATTATATAATTGAATTGAAATTTAACCCCATCCATTATCCACGCAGAACACGGTACCTACTTGACCGCCTTTTTGTTTTTATGCTTATACTTTTATTAGATATACTTAATGTGCTTTAGCATGGGTGTAAATATTCAGTGTTCAAATGTAACTGATATTTAACTACTACTTAACTTACATATTAGATTTTGAGTGGTGTGATGAAAAAAGGGAATTGTTAAGTAAAAAAGAGTAACTTTATAATATACTTGAAATATTCACAAAATGTATATCATATTAATATTTATTGTACACGATCAAACGTTCAAAATATATTGTAATAGTCTTTTTGAGTTATTTGAAATTTAGTTATGTTTAGGATATTTTTTTTTTATAAAAATATTGATGGAATATTTTTTCCCTGACTCGAAAAGCTTGGCCATTTGATTAAAGATTCCTAGATAGTTTTTTGGAAAAAAATAATTCAAACTTCTGTACTACTAATAGACAATAGTAATATTACTTAAATAACAATAATACCATAAAATATACTTATTAGTTAGTAATATAGGTTGACATACCGTCTTCGCTTAGAATTGTTTTTCGTGTGCAATTATTAAACATTGAATTCAAATTTAACACAGAGGTACATTACAGTGACTCATTCCTCAATGACGAGATAAGCTCGATACTAATTGTACATTAGAGTGGTTTTAGAATGGACCTACTTTTCTCTTTTGTTGTCGTTTATTTGTACTTTTGTTTATACATTTGTTAGATTTACTTATCGTGTGCTTTGACAATCGCGGCATAGGTGTCAATACCACTTCAGTAAGTTGAATTATTATTATTATTATTATTTTTTTTTTTTTTTTTATGTTTTATAAATTTGTAAATACCTAATTATGTTTTTGACGAATTTTGTTAAAATTATAACTTTAAATGCTTATAAAAAAAAGCGGGCTCTTCAATATTTTTTAATTTCTATAATTACAACTTGTGAAAACCCCTATATTAAGCTTATAAGGTTTTTTACCCAGATAAAAAATAATTGATAGAAAAAAATTTGAAATTTGAAATGTCTTGTTTCTGTTAATAGGTCAAATTGATTTTAAATATTTTGGAAATTGTATAACATTTGGTGAAAATCAAGGATTATTCGTTTTTTAATTATAGCAAAATCTCTTAAACCGATTGAGGAGAAATAGTAAATAGTCCATTTCCAATGTCAAAATTTAAATTTCAAACTCGATTAAAAAATGAATTTGACTTTTAGGTTAACTTTTTGTTTGTTATAGACAGAAAAACATAATAGTATGAGGAATCTTGGATTACATTTTTAAATTAAAAGGTTAGGTTAATCAATATTTTAACTTTAAACTCTTAAAAAAATATTGTGACTAATATCATTGTACCTATACAAAAATGATTCTGGGCGAAGACAATCACCTTAGCGATTTCTATCACTTAGTATATTTTATTATATCGTTGATATTAAAGTAATACATTTTACTATTAGATGAATATTGTAATACAGATATACAATAGGTTGAATTAGTTTTTGAGAAAACGTTGCATTTTAAAATGTTATTGTGTATATAAAATATACACATATACTCAAGTACTTGACAACTTTCAAGTGCCCACAACTCACAAATAATATTTTTAAATTACTACAAAATAATAGTTTTGATAAATGTTGTCAACATTTTAACTTTAAATGCTCATAAAATAAATATCGGCCGTATGTATTTTAAAAATACTTTTGAATTGTTATTATAACAACTTTTGAGGAATTTTGCATTACATTTTCGAGCTTTTTGATATCTAACCTAATCTATTGAAAAGAAAATTTTATCGACATTTATAGAAAAAATAACAAAAAAAATTTCAATTTCAAATGTCTACAAATAATTTAAATTTGTATCATGTAGGTATATAAAATGATTAAACAAACATTTGGTGGAAATGTCAAGTATCTGCAGTTATTTCTTTAGAATTGAATTACCACAAATTAAGAAAATCGTTCGATGAGAATTCTTTAGTTTATGGATAAATCTACCTAATCTAATATGATAAAATGATGTGCTTTAAACGTTGATAAAATGTTTAATTTTACTTTTCAGTAAAGCTTTTTTTTAAAAGATAGAAAACGAATCTCGAATTAAATGTTTAAATGTTAGTTATAAAAAGCAAATTGTTATGAGTTTCTAACCACAAAATAATTTTTGTAAATGTTCACAATTTAATGAAGTTGTCAAAATTCCAACTTCAGAAAATTTGTTCACAATTGTGGATTCTCAGCTATTTTTTATTAAACTAATAACAACTTATGATAGACCTTTTAATCTATTTTCATGTTGTTCAAAAAATTATTTATTGACAATATTTGAAAAATTAAATATTTTTCATTGCCCATAGCTATAGACAGTTCAAAAAAAGTCAAAATCTTTTGAAAATTTCGGCATGTGTGAAAAATTTTTGTATAAACATTTGGTGGATTTTTATAATATTTACTGTTATTAATTTTTGAGTTACATCAAAAAAACTAAACCATTTTTTTCAAAAACAGGTATTCCGTAAAACTTAAGTTTTTTCAAAAACTTTCCTCAAAAAAAAAGTTCTAATTTGCCACAAAAATCACTCAGTATTTTTAGTGACCATAATAGCGATGAACAGACATAAATAAAAATTTAAAAATCTCACCATTGTAATAATATTAATACATTCATGTCCATTCAGCTTCACTCAAAATCTAATATGCGTTTAAAAAAGCCATCAAGTGAGTTACTGTTTTGCTGTACTACAGTTGTTGCCTGTATTTATCAAATGAATACCTATCAGCTATCTTCACTATAATGGATGTGTTATTTTGAATTCAATGATAAATCGTTGCACACAATGAAAAACGATTCTGAGGGAAAAGTAACTTTTTAGTAACATATTAACATGAAAGGCGCATATAAATAATTTGTAAATCGTTGATTGAATAAGTAATTCATATTTATTACGAAATAAAATTAGAACTCGTGAGATATAGAAACCTAAGTGATGGACTGCACCCTTGTTCAAGTAACGAGAAAGGTAAACAGTCTTTAATACTCCGTTATTTGTTTGTGGTTTATTTTAATAATTTGTTTAAAATTATTAATTAAAGCAACCATAGTTTATTTTAGAGAAAATATTTTATTTATTAAATATATAAAAATGCCGTTATATTTTAGTTTTTGTTACCTATTTATCTTTTTCCTTGTTCATTAAAACATAATAATCAATATTCAATATAATATGGTGTACTTAAGCAATTTGTTTACATCATATTATACGACTTTAAGACAATGATATAATAGATAACATTATGGTGATTTCTATTAAAAAAAAAATATATTATTTATTACTATTATTTTATACTTTTTTTGGACAACCAGAAGGTCATTCTACGCTCCCCAATGCACTACGGTGCGCTTACTTTGGGAATCACTGTACGAAATAGCCTGGACACGGCGGCTTAATTGCATGAGTGTGTGTTTATTATATATCACTATATTATAGTACAATATATATGTATAAATAAAAGTAGGTATACTTATCCTAATCAGTTTTTGAAGGCGACCGAAGTGGGTTAGTAGTTAGAACCATGAAGAATAAAAACTAGTTTTAATATCCATGGTTATATTATAATGTACCTAAACATATTATATACACACTGCACACTACCACACTTACTTATTATACGAGTATAATGACTTCATACCCACATATTATAACGTGTTGTCAAAATACAAACGTATAGCACAGCAAATTTACATTCAACAGAACCAATATCGTGTTATTTAGTTATTACTTATTAGTTCATTACATTTAATATTATTGTAAATATTAATATAATATCGGACTTAAAAGTAAACATTATCCGTATCATTTGTACGCCGGTATTTTATGACATATCAATTTTCAAAGAAGTTATATGAGCATTTTTAAATTTAAACAACTTGAGACTTGAGTGTACAAACAAGTGTACTTTTGTGCATATACATAGCAAAAACTGTTTTTCACGGGATGTAACCACTCAGTCTGTAGTGATAGTCAATACTTAAAATTTATACATATTATAATTGAGAACATTATCTGTGAAATGTCATTTTTATTTTTTTTTTATCAAGTATACGAAAAAAGTTCTTATATTGTTTCAAAATTCATTATTTTTGTGCTTTCCAAACTTAAATAACTCTTTTTTTTAGTTTCGGTACCCAAAAAATAAAAAGGATATTTTACAGCCAAAGTTTTCCTTTTTATGTGGTGATAATTTCGTTTCTTTGTTATGAATGTAGTGTTCTCTGTCCTTTCCCGCCCAAAACCGTTTTTGCTATGTTTTACATTTGTAAGACGGAGAAACACACGCTGGTGTAGTGTCCTTTTAAGAAATTTATATATCGTAAAAAACGACGTTTAAATACAGATAATTCTTTTGTTTGATGATTGGTAAATTAATTTTAATATTAAAAGTAACGGCATATAACTAACCTACAGACTTCTACTAAACGTAAATTTTTCATGTTACAACACGGAAACAACACATTCGGGTGTGACGACATCTTAAGATCTAATGATGTTTAACACTATTTAAGTATTAACTAACCTTTGGTACGTAACAATAGAGCAGCTTATGCCGATTGTCGACCAAAATATGGTCCAAGAGTACGCTGTCGTTAATGGCTTGCTGGTAGTCATCGTCGTCTTTTGGTAACTTGAATGAACGGCACATTACTGACACGTGCTCTTGTCTTTCTAGATAGATCAATCTCTCTAAAAACGATTGGGTGTCGTAATTTTCTTCCGTAAAATCTTCTAAGAGATAAAATAAAAAAATACAATATTATATATTTATTATTTAAAGAAGAAACAATTATACCATCGTAGTACCTATTTTTACCCAAGTTATTTTCATATTATAGTACACAACAGTTTAAACAAATTTTTTCAAAAAACCTCGAGCCTACTTAAAATATAAGTTTCAAGTCCCTTTGATATTAATAATTTTTCAAATACGACCAAATATTGATTTGTTTAGTGGGCCGATGATTCGTCGCTAAAAACCCAGATGGTCGCCCATCTGGCCTCACCAAAATATCAGACCCTAACAGGTAATGTTATATCACCTATGTGGGCATATGGCTACATATTATACACTCACATTTTGATTTAACTAAGAATAATTAAAATATTAGAGTTCATTAGAAAACCATAAAACAAACTACAAAAATCAATGACTTTAAAAAATATTGCTTTAATATATTTAATTTGATCATTAGAAACACGACTCATTCCTCGGTTATCTCGCATTTATCCAATACTGACATTAATCTATTATATATACCGGAAGGACTCCCCCTCACCCCCCAAAGTCTATACTAATTATAAATAAGCAAACAACAATAAATAGTGTGTACAAAATAGAGGCACAACAAAATATGTTATGCTGACATACTTCTAAGACACACATCCGAACACACATTTTTGATTACAAAAAGTTTCTAATATTTAATTACATTATTTTCATTCCCCGAAAAGAAATCAATTTTTATTTTCATCAATATTTATCAAATTTATTTAAGTTTTTGTTTTTGCAATTTTAATGTCTTAGAGTATAATATCTTTCATCATCTTTTGGAGCAGCATAATATATAAATGAAAACTTTGAGGTGATTTCTTGCAGCAAATTAGATCAATTTGCGAGTTGTGGGGGGGGGGGCTGTAAAATGAATCGACAAAATCGTCTTACTTAATTTTTACAGCTAACCTTTTCACACACCACACTGTTCTACGATAAGTCGGTATTAAATAAAAAGTTAATAACAATAAAATATACTACTACAATAATTAATGACATAATAATTACAATGTTTTCGGCCACTTACTGCTTCCCAATACTACTAATAGTAAAATGAATAACTATAATATAGGGAATAAAATATGCTTAGTAATAATTAATATTATAGGCACCAACCGCTCGGAACATTTTTCGTATATTATTAATTACTACTTGTCATTGAATTCAAATTTAACAAATCTATTACAGTGACCTACACAATGTCGAGGTAACTCGACACCATAATATGTATAGAATATAGATTACAAAAAAAGATTCTGAACGTTATTGTTTTTCCTTTTTACTTTTTTAAGTATTTTTAAAAATATTTTTTATACCTTTTTTAAATTTTAGAATTATACTATAAACACTATAGATAAGTTTATTTATAATCATTATAATTAATATTAATTATTAGGAGGTAGTACTGTAATACTATAGTAGTAACTAGTAAGCTAAACAAGTACATACTGAGGTTTTAATAAAATTATCTTTTGAGATAAGTCGGGTACCTAATATAAGCCATTTTAAATATCATTTGATTAACTTAATCAAGACGTGATCTATCCAAAGCCGGATTTGGAGTGGTTGAGTGTGCTGTAGAAGAGGGCCCCAGATAATTTAATTATTTTAAGGTGAATACAGAAAAATGTATTCAAAATATATACTGTATAGGGTTTGCATTAAAAACTAGGGAAGGTGCTATGCAGCTGTATAGTAGGTGTATAGTATTTAAGGAAAGCAACGAGGTCACCCTGGGTGGCTATTTTTTTTGTTTATAGCTACTGCTTTTATTTCCTACTATTATTAATAATTAATACCTTTTACATATTTACATTTTGTTATTCGTTACTATATTATTATAATATTATAAACTCATTACCTATCATTGACATAAATGTTTTAGCCTTATTAAACATCGAAAGTGATCTAACCTCCTTCATCAATTATTATAATAATATACCTATATTATTTTCACATGATCAACTTGATCAAAAGTCAAGGTTGCTAAAGGCTAAAAGTGTAAGTTACTTTCATTATTTCTAGACACTTCATAACATTTTTTTTTTTAGTTTAATTTTTAAATCTGAGTTACATTGTTTAAAGAATATTTTATTCGTCAAAGAATTATACATTATTTTATTAAAAATTCTTATTTAACACCTTTTTGAGACATGAAATTCACAGCCCAATTTATAACCAATAAGCATCTAATTAATAGATACTTTATAGCTTATGAACAAATAACTAATTAATAATTATATATACTTTTTAGTTTAAACGTCTATACATTTGATCAGTGTACCCACTTACATGTAAAAAGATATCTTACGATTTAAAATATAAACTACAATTTATTGTACAGAGTATAAATATTAACAATAAAGAAGTGCTTAGAAAAAAAAAATGTTATATTTTTTATAAAGTGAAAAAATTGTGTAGAACGTCCAACGTGCAGTATTGACATTCAGTATTTCAGTCTATAATAATGTAATATATACTTTAATGTCAATCAAATACCTAGTCATAAATTTTTAATTATTACACAAAAACTGATTAATGTAACATATTAGATACGCAGCACAATAGCACGATAATAAGAAACATACAAAATATAGACTCAAATACAGAGCTATAAAAAATATAAGGCACAGTATTATTTCATGGCAGCTCATCCTTGCCTAAATTGGCTTACCTACTGGCCCAAAATAAATTGTTTTCTACAGCGACACAGAGTCCAGACTGCAATTTCTATGCCACAGTAAATGATGTCGGCATGACGGCATTTTACATTGTTATTTGTTGTCAACATGTTATTATATTAATATCATGAAATATCATGGAATTATTTTATTTAAATTGACAAGCCACAAGCACAGGTACGAGTGCATTATTAAAACGTGTATTAAACTTATAGATACGTGAAAAACGTTCATTTAATATTTAAAAGTAATATGGTAAAAATATTCTAATGTAGTACCTATATTCTATTATTTTTAAATTAGACAGGACCCGGATCCAAACAAGAAAATCCTAACATTTTTAAAATTAGGTAACCAATTTAATCGAGAAAATATAATTGAATTGTTAAACTAATGTCACATATTAATGTAATGTATAATAATTGTAAATAGTAATTAAGATATTTTAACTAATGACCCCTGCTGCCTAGTGGTATTTAATATCAATATAAGAAGCAAATATATATATTTTTTAATTTATAATGTATAATATTTTATAAATAAGATAAGCCAATAGTCCATGAAATTTAAAAACTTTGAACTGTACTTATATTATATAAATAGCAATTAGGTTATTATTGTTTGTTTGATTAACAGTGAATCTCATCTCCGCTTCAACATCCGGTCTTAAATTATAATGTTTACTTATTTATGTGAAATTTATTGACAATATTGTCTCATTAAAAGTATAAACCTGGTCATTAATACCCAATATTTTGTTGGCAAATAAATGATTAAAATTTAACTTAAATGTATTTAGTCTCGAGTGCCTAGTCTATTCGTGTTCAAATTTTATTCGATGTAGAAGCGCTATGAAACTTTCTAAAACAGTCAGTATAGATGGAATACATATTATAAAAGTATAACATGGTAACATGAAAACCGAAAAATCTGTAACATAATATTATAATTCATAATAAATTAATAAACATTAAACAAATATTGTAAAGCGCGCTGAAACCTTTTGTCGGGACAATGGCATAGACTTTTAAAATACCAAACTTCCTTGTATAAAACGAAAAGTGAGGCCACTTTAGTCTATTGGATTACAAAATTACAGTCAAAATAAAGAATTATTTCATACATTTACGATTTTGTCGATCAAAAATAAGAAAAAAAATATTATTAAAATGAGAAATAAAGCATTAATACAAATGAAATAATTATGTAATATGCACTAACCTGTTAAATATGCAAAAATATGCAAAGTAAGATTTTGATTTGATATTTTATAAATAACATAAAACAAATTTTAATTGAATCCATTATCTTTATGATGTACCAACAAATAAAATGTAAATGCTTAAATGAAATTGGTTATAAAATATTTTTCAATACACTTATATTTAACCTTCGTATAATATGTTTTTATAAGCAAATGTTGAAAATTATAAATAATGTAATATAAAAATTATTAGTAGGTAAATTAATTATTTGTTCACAGGGTACACACTGATATTAACATGGTTGTTGGTTATAAAATATATTCGAATGTACCTACTTATATTTTACGTTCGTATAGTATGTATATGTTTTCCTAAACAAAATTCGAACAATGCAAATAATGTAATATTGTACTTACGAGTTTTAAAAATGTTTATGTAGAAATGATCAGTGTAGAATAACATCGTTGTTAAACAAATTATTACCCAACACAGTATCACAATTTTGAGTATCATAATTTATTTTCACACAGGAAGTTCTTTTGGTCGGAGGCGAAAAATCATTTTTTTTCTCGAAAAATGGGTGTCACGTAAGTACTTTTTCAATTTCCTGATTTAATTTAAATTTGTAACTAAATAAGGAACACATAGTTTAATAATTAATTGTATATAGGTATAATAGATAAAAGAGAAGAAGAAGTTGTCGTCTGTAAGCCACATAACTGAATATTCCTTCAACTATTTCAGTAGGTCAACAATCTATTGCCGCGTTACTGACCTTGACTTTAAGAAGGAGTAACGGCGACAGTACTTACCACTTCCAACGAAACTGGTTTTTCTTCTTAATATCATATTAGTATTTCATCATTTATAAAAATAAAAACGTATCAAAATGATTTCCTATATTTGAATATTATCATAAAAATAATTACTTATTGGTACACGCATAAAAAACTAAATTTTGAAGTAGATTACATAGAAGTTTAATATGTGTATTTATGTAGGTAAGAAACTATTGAGAATTCTAATAAGAATGTAGGTCAAGTTTAAATACCTTCTGAACGTCAGTTATTATGATTACCAAAAATTTTGAATGAAACTAAAGAAATAAATTATATTATTAGCAAGTATAAACCCAAATTAGGCATATAAAAAAATCACTAATTAAAATATAACAGGAGAGAAAGATCGCAACATAATTTAGTAGTTTCAACACTATGTGCTATCAAATCAAATCGTAAAATCAAAAGCGATAACAGACTATTGCCGTTTTCCCCCTGTACCCTTCAAATACTTACAAAAACTCACATCGTGGACTTAATTCTCAGCCCACATATACTTTAGAAACTAAGAATTTTTCTATTAATCGTTATGGAAAATTAAGGAGACCAATAACGGTCAGTTATTTGAACCAAATGTGACAATATGTTGTCGATGGACCTAGTAAATATAGTAACATGTAAGTATAGTAAAATAGTTACTATAGTTTAATATTGGTAAATACTTAAGACTAATTTTAACTTGTTATATTATGTCTACTTGAGATCGATCAGGCCACTTTTTCAAATTTCGTTCATCAATTCTTATACATTAGGTTTGAATACTTCAAATTTATGAAATTCTAAATGTAGAAATATAATTTAATTTGATATTATTTTTAATACAATGATTGTATATTATTTGAAATTAAATTTAAAAATGTAGCCAGATCGATCTCAAGTAAACGATAATTTACTATGTATTATCAAATTCAAAACAGTTTTCAGAAGTCTTGTCACATTTTTAGGTCCATTGGTGAGATTGATAAAATGTACAAAATATTACAAATGAGAGTTGAGCATATTAAAGTACATTCTTTACCGGTCACAAACTCTACATCGCGTAGGCGACTTGTACAAGCGCGTGCGCGATACCCAAAGAAAATTGCCTAAGCTGAACTCCTTAAATACTGTATGTTTACAATCCGAATTCGATTCCGTTCGTTTCTAAGGAGGTCAATATAGGCAAAATTCCATTTGTTTGCGAGCGTATAATTTGTGTGCGTAGAAAGTGTTTGTTAGTGTGTGTGTGTGTGTGTGTTTGTTAGTGTGTGTGTGTGTGTGTGTGTGTGTGTGTGTGTGTGTGTGTGTGACAATAGTGTAAACAAAACAGAGGAGCGCTCTCTCACGTGCAGTCACATGTCATTAAGGCACTACACAAGTCTTATTTTTTCTAAATGTATCAATATTTCGACAATTTATTGTATCAACAAACCTATTTAACCGATTAAGTTTCTAAAAACTTATTTGAATTTTTCACGAAGTTAGTTATTACTTAAAAACTATTTCCTTACATTTTGTAATTAATTTCAAAAAAATGGTAAAGTGATCTTTAATTAAACTTCTTGAAGAATTCAAATATGTTTTCATAAAATGTATCCGATTTTTAGGACAATCAATAAAACTGGCTTAAGATACTCCTATTTTGGTAAAAAACCTAGCCACGATTGAATGCCCTTTAAAATGTATGTATACATATGTTTGTGTACCTACAAAACCTAAAGGGAGATTGACGGCTGACGATGATAATTATTGTGTAGTAGTTCAGTGTCGGCTCGTGTCTAGGTGTGCAGGTGTGAGCACACCACATAGATTAATATAGATATAAAAGTGAAAATGTAAAATTATAATGTGTAATAATTAATTAGTTTTTATAAAATACCTGTAAAACTGTATTTATTATATAAAAAAATTAAATTTAAGAAAACAAAAACACGACAATTATTATTATACTAATAAAATTTAATTGAGTTATGTAACAAATACACATTACTTGCTGTGCAACTTAGTTTGAAAATACGTGAAAATACGTATGGTTGTCGAGTGGGGGAATCGGCAATTATATGTGACCATGGTGTGAAGCTCCTACTATTCACTTTTCTGGGGGTTGCACGCGATAAACACACATGCGATAAAAGATATCAACGCATCAGCTTTAATAAATTTGATTATTTCAATATTATTAGTAAATAGTTATGACATGTTATCTGTTGTTACAATAAAATAAAATATATACTATACTTACCTAATATGTAATATTATAATATACATATTTTCTAAAACCGTATATCAAAATTAAAAATTCTAATTAATATTTTACTTATTACATGTATATTTAGAACCGACTAATTTTTTTTAAAAATCAACTGTTGCAATAATTGCACACCACCTACTTTGAGCACCACGAGCCGCCACTCTAGTAGGTAGTTAAATAAATCTTAAACAGGTAACATATCAAAAAGGTTCTAAACATCGTACAAATTGTGATTTTCAGTTCAGGGCTTCAAAACGTTTTTTATAACATATAATGATATAACGGAAAAATATTAAAAATAAATTGGTAGGTAAATGAAATAATTTAACTAAACACAAACAAATTCTAATACCATTTAACAAAATAGCTTGAAAAACATCTTTAAGATTAGTAATTAACAATAGACATAGTTATATAAATATAATTAATATAATATGTAAGGTAAAAAATTATCACTTATAACTTCAATATTTTTTACGCGAAATCTATGACATCCATGATCATTCCAATACAATTTAAGTTTTATTAATTTTTTTAAACCTCACAGATATGAACCATTTTTAATTGGCTAACCTTGGTTAACAAATAATAATATTATATAGTTTCCATGCAAAATATTGTATTATTTTTACTTTTTTTTTATATAAATATTATGTATACATATTTATAGGTACTTTATTTCTGTAATTCAGCTAATTATCATGTTTGTGTTAAATTCTATTGATGTTAACAACTTTTTTTTTCAAATTAATAGAACGTTTAAAAATATAATAACGTTAAACAGAAAAATCAAAAGTTTGAAAGTACAATAACTAACATTACAATTGTGTATAATGCCTATATGCCTAAAAACGTAAAAACTATAAGTATATTTCCAGTTTAAGCACTGATTTATTCACTTTTTTAATTTATCTGAGTTCAGTTTTAAGAATAAAAAGGAATACCTATTATCCATATAGGCCAGCAAAATATGAAATAAAATGTAAAATTTTTTAGTAAATTTATATTTATATCTAAATACTTATTGCAAATGAAAATTATACATAAATAATAAATTAAAAGATGTTTTTAGTGAATACCTATATTTGTTTAATATATTAAGTTCCTTAAATAATAAGTCTTTAAATCGTATTATGTGGGTACTTATGATAAAAACTCTAACGATTATAGTGGTCTGCTCGTGTATCTTTATTAAGGGGCAGTATTTAGGCAATTTTATTCATTTTTTACCATGACATTTGTGTTAGTCGTCAATGATTAGTGTAAGTGTGATTGTATGCTGGGGCAGGCCAATCTACGCACGCGCTGCACACTCACACAATATGTAAACAGCACCGGTGACCAAAAATGAAAACGTGATTTTTGGTTTAAGACATACATCACAGGAAAGATTCTAGTCGCACTGTAGAGTGGCCTAATCTGACTAATTTTCTTTTCATTAGAAATAGGGAAATTTTTTACAGGGATCATCAGACTTTGATTATTATTTTCGGTGCTTATAACAAACATAATACAAATAATAAAAGTTTGTGAGAATAAGCCGTATTCAAAATCTAATTATATTGTTTAGGAAAATAATTTTGAAAATCCAAATACAATGAGCACTGTAAGAAGTGTTCCTCTTTCAAAAAAAAATTACGAAATCTCATCACTCTACGGTGCGTGAGAGTTTTTCCTGTAAGCCATGTTTTTGAGCTTATTACATGATAAGATATTTCATACTTTTATAAATAAATAATTATTTTAGAAATTCGTTTTTATATACGATATTAATATTATTGAATAAATACCGAAACAAAAAAATGATTTTTATGAAAATTTGTAATGCATTTTTTACTTTATGAAAAAAACCGAATAAAATGTTTCCAACGTTTCCATTCATATATTGTTTTTTTAAATTGAGATGGGCCTTTTATTACAATGTAAACCTAATACTAAAAGATGTCAATATTAATTTAAATATTTAAATTAATCAATCTATAGTTTAATTTAAAGCCGAAAATATTATCTTGGTTCGCTTGTCGGTTTTTACGGTATTTAAATTTATAAAAGTTGTCGTGTTTTAAATATTAATGATAAAAACTGCTCGTATGTCATAACATTGAAAAAACATGAATATTTTGTAAACAATTATTTCTTTATTTCAAAAATAAATTACAATTACAAAAAGCTTTTTGCTGTACACGTTACTACATTAGTTAACAGAAAAGTTAGATGATAAAAATTTAAATAACTATGTATGTACAAGTTAAATAACAAAACAAATGCAATGTATAAATGTTTAAAAAATATAAAATAAAAGAGTTGAGGGTGGATTTGATGATACAACTCATTTATTAAGTCTGTGCAAGAATTTTAACTGGGAGACAAAAATGTATTCCTGTAATAAATATGTTAAATTATAGTATAGTAGAATTATTGCATGCTCGTCCCTCATAATTATTAAGAATGCACTGATTTAAGTTGTAGGAATTAAGTGTAAATTCCCACTTTTAGTTCTGCTGCAGTGTTGAGACGTCGTCGGCACAGTTTTTGTCATAATGGTAAAATGAGAAGGACGTGAACATAATAATAACGTGCACTTTCAAAAAACATCGATTACTCCTTCATAATACAATATTCATTATACATAATATTATGAAATAAATTTTGTATTAGTGTATTATGAATTATGATTAAAACATTAAAAAATGTATAGATCTATAATTAATAAGTAGGGTTTGGATTAATATGTATTTATAAAACAAAAGTATGTATTTACACAACAAAACTATGTACATAAATATATGCTAAAAAGTTCAAAATATGTATTATTAAAAAAAATATAGTAAAAATATAAATAAATACCTAATAAAATACAATAAAAAACAATGGTTATTTATCTAATTATCTTTATTTCAATGTATAACAACATGCATTTTCAAATATTTAATTCAAAGGATCTTCGGTTCTGCCCTAAAATTGCTTTATTATTACTAATAAGTCATATATAGACACATCTAATATAATGTTATACACTTAAACCTATACATATAATGACTGAAAATATGAAATAAGTGTATTCAAATGTATATTCTATAGACTTTAGCTATAGCAAATACACGGTCAGATATAAAGTACCTATATAATATTAAACATTGAACCAGTTTTAATTTATAAATATTAAATATTAATTGGGTCTGTCTTGTTTATTGTGCCGAATCTAGTATTCTAAACATTTTTTAAGTATTTATAATGTTTTTAAAAAAACTTTTTCAAAAGTATTCTGAATAATTATTTAGAATATTTTTAAGTATTTTATTCCTACAAAAAAATAATTTTTATTTACAGTAATAATTGTTTTCTTTGTTTTTCTGGAAAAATTTACAACATTAGACACATTTTAAAATTATAAATTAAGTATCAACAACTTGAATTATATTATATTTAGAATTATATGTTGACTCTAATTTCAAATTTGCTAGAAGAAAAGTATCATTGGTTTAATAATTAAAACAAAAACTAAACAATTAAAAGTATTTGAATACATTTTCCAAATAATATTTTTCATATGTATTCAAGTATTTATTCCTAATACTTCTTTTAAATATTTTACTTAAGTCTGTTTTAGGTATTAATTTACATTACATTATATTGTTTAAATTAAATTAATTTTCAAACGCTTTTAATTCCTGCTAACATTAATTCCCAAAATGTTAGGTTAGGTTAGGTCAAAAGTTATATATTTGTTTAAAAATTCTGAAATATTTGGTTCGAAAAAAAATTCAGTTGATTTTTTATATTTCTATTTAAAATACATAATACAACATCTGTTAGGTAAATATTTAAATAATTTTTAATTATTCAATAGTTAGTACACGTTACCTGCAGTATGCAGAGGTCTTACATTAATACATATTTGGTCATAAATTAAATGTAATAAGCACGTACATAGACTGCGTTTAGAAAAAGGATAATATTTTGGTACATAATACATACAATGTATACAATGTAGAGTATTAGTATAAATGTATAATTTACATTTAGCCAAGTTTATTTTTCGTGTACGACGGCGGACAGGTATAACTATATTATTTGTATGCTTCAATGATGACTCAGGGGCGTAGCCAGGGGGGCTAAGGAATATGAGGCTGTAGCCCTATCCCCCAATACAAAATTCCTGGCCGTCACATGAGTGGTGGTGTATCTTGTATCTAGGTATATTGAACGTCATCAGTACGTTTATATTATTTTGATTGATCGAAGTTACGTACATCACGTTCACGTACATCATACATCTACGGAACATTGACTAGTGTTTTAAAACACACGACATTTCTCACATATATTATAAAACAAACCATCACGACACGAATATTTTACAGACATTTTACAGACATATAGTAGGACAACTAGAGGGTACCATCAGTACACGACAGCCGTCGTCGACGACAGACGCGGTGTACTGCATTAATTGCCGCACGTCGTCATTCAGATAGGTAACAAAGCCGCCGAATTTTCGTATGCCGAAACTTCGTTTGAAGTAATTGTGGACAATGCGGACTTCGGGTTCGGGGTTGTATTAAATGACAAAATATCAATCTACACTGATGTTTAAGTGGATAATTAAGGCCTATAGTATAATATATACACATATATATAGATATATTATATATATATATAAATATATATGTATGCAAAATATCTGTACGGCTGTACATAAATGTTATAAGTACCTAGGTATTATCTAAATAATGTTAATTTTATTTCAGGTAAAATAACCCAGTGGAATTTACTAGAAAAAAGGTTTAAAAGGTCGCAATCGGTGGAATTTACATTTAAAAACTTATACAAATATTTATTACCTGTTTATCTAACCGGTTTACATTAATAAAGTTTACAATCGCCCCCATAAAGTTGTACGTGAATCGTACAAAACAGGTAGGTAGGTACATAATGACTGAAAACGTAAAATACGTCTACCTATAAAGTATAAACCATATTGACCAAAGCCGTATAAGCACATACGATTAACGGTGAGGTACATCACATTGAATGAGTAGTTATAACTGATTATAAGTTTTAAATGCAAAATATTAAATAATTTCGAATTATATTTTTTCATTTTATAATGTAAAAAATATTTTAAAAAGAACAACAATGTTATTCAAATTGTTTGTTTCTCACATTATGCGATATCCATCGGAATATTGTACAGACACGGGACGATAGTATGACAATGAGAGGGCGCCAGTGGTACACGATCGTCGTTGTCGACGGCAGACTCGAGGGCCGCCGAATTTCGCCGCACGTCGTTGTTCCACGTAGGTATCATTCGCGTCGACGGTGGTGGCTGTCAGCGGCGGCCGTCGTCGAATTGTCGTACGTCGTAACGTCGTTTTAGTAATTCTATAGTGACAACTTGTCACTGACAAGTATAATCGTGTTGTGTTCAAACGGTTTTTTACGAGTTCGTATGTACTTTGCAACTATTAAACAAAAGAAAAAGCACGTTTGTGTAGAAACAGACAACGAAATACGTGTTTTTAGAAAATAATATTTCGTGTATGCGTCCGTTTTTCTCTGACTGTAGATAGCGCTATTGAGCTGTACTATTTCTTTGATCGTATTGTCGACAATATTAATCTATCAAATAATATATTTATTTGCAATTATCTTCAACCAGTGAAGTGTAACACATTAAATATTGACGTGTATGACCATTTCCCAAAATGCGATTTTTTTAAAATCGATATTTTCGCTTTTTCGAACACGCTCAAATTTGAAACTGCAATCGTCTTAGAATTGCTTCTATCTTTAATATACCTCAGTGATGTCCAGAGTGTATCGCTTCCTTAACGACTGCGAACCGCTTCAGCGACGGTCAGTTTCCTTCCGCTGCAGATGGTTTGAACTTTCTGAGGTGTTTTCACCCAGATCGTTCATGGTTCTGTATTTCGACGGGCTCGTGGCTACGCCAGACCCGATGCGGTCCGTCACCTGGCCGATGCGGACCTCGGAATCGTTAACGCTAATTTTTTTCTAAAAACCTGGAGATTGTGGAGGTCGCTCCTGCTCCTGTTGTGCCATCCGTGTATCCGCAGTACCCCGGATCGGCGCTCATTATTATTCCACGGCCCACTGGACTTTGGGCGGCTTTGTCACCCATTTCACTTACCGTCTCGGCGTGACCGTCGACCCTCGGCAGTGGGAAGTATAATCAGCTCTTTGGCTTTTGTGCCGGCGTTTTGCCCCATACAAAACCTTAAAATGCTGGTCGAAGCAGCCTTCATGTGGCTGACGTAATTTTAATTTTTCTGCGGGACCTTCGGGTCCAGGTACTACACGCCCCCATGCGCTAACAGATAAAAAAAACTCTCCTCGTTTGTTTGCTCAAACGCCACTCCAAATATTTATCCTTAAACATCTGTTCTTATCAGCGTAACTTGCGTACTGTTATCTCGGGCGTCACGAGTGAAAACTCGACGCCCAGGACAAAGTATTTTTCGCTAGAAGCAGATCCCGCCTAACATACACTTTGGCTTACCGTTATTCGAGATCCGATCACCTGCCTGTTTAATTGAGGTCTCTGTCTGCTTGTGTATTCTGTTTGTGTGTGAAGTGTTGAACTCGGCCTTGTCCTCCGTAGGCTTTGGTATTCTTACCTTGCCTGCGTGCTGAGCCAGCCTCCGGAAATCGAAAGATTACCCGCGGGTAGAGGTGAGGCATAGGTTGTGTTCAACAAGTAGCCGGTATCTATTGAAACTACCCGTAGCGCGATCTACGTTAAAAATAGTGAAGGTGGTGGCACACCTTAAAAGCTGAGTCCCTCGCCTGGGCTACCTCTTCGAAGGCCAGGCCATACTCGTAGCCCGCCAACCCCCGTAGCGCAATCTACGTTAAAAATACGACCACACACAAACAATTTACTAGGCCACACTAACCGGCAGTCAGGTCGATCGGGTCGCTCCTACGCCGTGACCGCGACTTTTTCTCTGTCGACCAGCTGTACGCCGCCTTTTGGAGCAGTCTGGTCCACACACCACACGTCAGCCCCGGCCGGTGTCCGCTTTTTGGTCCAGCTGTTTCGTGTATTTGTGAATTCTTCTCGCAGCTGAACGCCGCCTCTTGGTCCAGCTGCATCTACGTCAAATTGTGGATTATTCATTGACCAGCTGAACGCCGCCTCTTGGACCTGACTGGTCGACGACAACAGTTCCTTCTCCGGCTGGTGCCGCCTCTTGGCCCAGCTGTCTCGTGTGTTTGTGAATTTTTCACGCAGCTGTACGCCGCCTCTTGGTCCAGCTGCATCTTCGTCAATTGTGAATTCTACAACTCTTCGTGTACGTGATGTCTTCTCCGACCATCTGTACGCCGCTTTTTGGAGCAGTCTGGTCAACCTACTACGTTATGTGAGTTCTCTTTTCTATTTTTACTATGGCCGCCCACACTGGCAGTAGCCAGGTGGCCGGGCCATCAAATCGGGCCGATCCGGAGCCGTCACCAGACCGTGACGAGTCGGATAGCGACTCGGTGTCCGACGGTGGTAGCTCTGGGGTAAGCGACGCACCCGTGCCCCGTAGGCAACCCACGCTCGTCGTCCGCAACCTTACGGTATGGTACCCACTACCCTCGACTGTTGAATGCCCGCACGACGGCTGCCCGGCAAGATTCCGGGTAAAACTGTGGACTAGCGCCAAACAGTCCGTCACCCGGCACTTGCGTGACTTGCACGAGGAGGCCGATTCCACCGTGGTGCGCTGCGTCGGGTGTCGCACGGTACTCGGAGTGCGGCCCGGAGCCCATAAGTGCCGGCGTGCTATCGAGGACGACGCGGGTGCTATCGAAAGGTTCCCGTGCACGGTAGACGGCTGTACTGACTCTTTCCCCAGCAAGCAAGGCTTAACGAACCACCTCCGCAACCATCAGAGACTTGACGCCCTCGAAACCGCAGCGGTCCCTCTGCCGACGCCGGCAACTCGTCATGGGTTACGCGGCAACCCGTCTGCGCGTCCAGTGCGCGGGGGTGATGCCCGCGTTCCAACGGGTGTGACGGCAGACGTGCCAAGGATACCGGCTGGTACCAGACCGCCGGACACAGGCGGCACGTCGCCTCCACCCACCACATCGGATGCTGAGCCAAGGACACTGGCTGGTCACATACCGCCAGACACAGGCGGCTCAGCCCGACACACGCGAGCTGAACCAAGGATACCGGTCGGTAAAAGACCGCCGGACACAGGCGGTTCAGCTTCGCCCATAGCAGGAGGTGCGCCAAGGATACCGGCTGGTAACAGACCGCCGGACACAGGCGGCGCGCCCCTGTCCCCAGCAAGAATACTGATACCCGCCACCACGAGACGGGCGACTCCCAAGGTGATCCAGTCCTTGTACAGGCGGAACAGGCGGCGGGCAGTTAGGCTTATAGTGTCGGGTGAGGGCCAGACCTGCGACGTTGCGGTCGAGAATGTTGAGGGGCACTTCCGCGACGTCTGGGCGCCATCGGTTTGCGATGCGTCGATTTTCCAGCGGGTGGAAGGCCGCGACCCGGTACCGATGGGCCCGTTCCTGTGTGCCGATGTGGCGAAACGCCTCAGTAAATTCGAAAACACGGCACCAGGGAGTGACGGGCTCACGTACCGGCACTGGAAGCGGCTCGATCCGGAGTGCACGGTCCTGACGGAAGTCGTCAACATGTGCCTCCGGTTCAAGATGATACCCCCCGCGTGGAAGAAAGCGGTGACGGTCCTCATCTTTAAAAAGGGTGCAAGGGAGGATCTCGGCAACTGGCGGCCCATCTCCCTCAGCCGCACCCTATACAAACTGTACGTGGGTTGCATCGCCGGCCGGCTGACCGAGTGGCTGGTGGCCAATCAAGTATTGAGTCCGTGCCAGAAGGGCTTCCTGCCCGCGGACGGCGCGTTCGAACACGTCCACACTCTCAACCGATTGCTTGAGAAGGCCAGGACCCATGCAAAGGACAAGTGCGTGGCCTGGCTGGACGTGTCGAACGCGTTCGGAGCCATCCCTCACGCGGCCTTGGAGGCGGCTATTGAGAGCAGCGGGGCGGGCGAAGACCTCCTCAACATAGTGCGGGACGTATACGCAGGAGCGTCATCTTCGGTCAGCGTGGCCGGAGGTATGACCGGCGATATCCCGGTGAGGTCCGGCATTAAACAGGGGTGCCCAATGAGCGGTTTATTATTCATTATGGCCATCGACCCGGTCGTAGCCCGCTTGCAGGGCACTTCTGCCGATCACCGGGTGTTAGCGTTCGCCGACGACCTCTGCCTGATCGCCGACAGCCCGGGGGAGCTCCAANGTACATAATACATACAATGTATACAATGTAGAGTATTAGTATAAATGTATAATTTACATTTAGCCAAGTTTATTTTTCGTGTACGACGGCGGACAGGTATAACTATATTATTTGTATGCTTCAATGATGACTCAGGGGCGTAGCCAGGGGGGCTAAGGAATATGAGGCTGTAGCCCTATCCCCCAATACAAAATTCCTGGCCGTCACATGAGTGGTGGTGTATCTTGTATCTAGGTATATTGAACGTCATCAGTACGTTTATATTATTTTGATTGATCGAAGTTACGTACATCACGTTCACGTACATCATACATCTACGGAACATTGACTAGTGTTTTAAAACACACGACATTTCTCACATATATTATAAAACAAACCATCACGACACGAATATTTTACAGACATTTTACAGACATATAGTAGGACAACTAGAGGGCACCATCAGTACACGACAGCCGTCGTCGACGACAGACGCGGTGTACTGCATTAATTGCCGCACGTCGTCATTCAGATAGGTAACAAAGCCGCCGAATTTTCGTATGCCGAAACTTCGTTTGAAGTAATTGTGGACAATGCGGACTTCGGGTTCGGGGTTGTATTAAATGACAAAATATCAATCTACACTGATGTTTAAGTGGATAATTAAGGCCTATAGTATAATATATACACATATATATAGATATATTATATATATATATAAATATATATGTATGCAAAATATCTGTACGGCTGTACATAAATGTTATAAGTACCTAGGTATTATCTAAATAATGTTAATTTTATTTCAGGTAAAATAACCCAGTGGAATTTACTAGAAAAAAGGTTTAAAAGGTCGCAATCGGTGGAATTTACATTTAAAAACTTATACAAATATTTATTACCTGTTTATCTAACCGGTTTACATTAATAAAGTTTACAATCGCCCCCATAAAGTTGTACGTGAATCGTACAAAACAGGTAGGTAGGTACATAATGACTGAAAACGTAAAATACGTCTACCTATAAAGTATAAACCATATTGACCAAAGCCGTATAAGCACATACGATTAACGGTGAGGTACATCACATTGAATGAGTAGTTATAACTGATTATAAGTTTTAAATGCAAAATATTAAATAATTTCGAATTATATTTTTTCATTTTATAATGTAAAAAATATTTTAAAAAGAACAACAATGTTATTCAAATTGTTTGTTTCTCACATTATGCGATATCCATCGGAATATTGTACAGACACGGGACGATAGTATGACAATGAGAGGGCGCCAGTGGTACACGATCGTCGTTGTCGACGGCAGACTCGAGGGCCGCCGAATTTCGCCGCACGTCGTTGTTCCACGTAGGTATCATTCGCGTCGACGGTGGTGGCTGTCAGCGGCGGCCGTCGTCGAATTGTCGTACGTCGTAACGTCGTTTTAGTAATTCTATAGTGACAACTTGTCACTGACAAGTATAATCGTGTTGTGTTCAAACGGTTTTTTACGAGTTCGTATGTACTTTGCAACTATTAAACAAAAGAAAAAGCACGTTTGTGTAGAAACAGACAACGAAATACGTGTTTTTAGAAAATAATATTTCGTGTATGCGTCCGTTTTTCTCTGACTGTAGATAGCGCTATTGAGCTGTACTATTTCTTTGATCGTATTGTCGACAATATTAATCTATCAAATAATATATTTATTTGCAATTATCTTCAACCAGTGAAGTGTAACACATAAAATATTGACGTGTATGACCATTTCCCAAAATGCGATTTTTTGAAAATCGATATTTTCGCTTTTTCGAACACGCTCAAATTTGAAACTGCAATCGTCTTAGAATTGCTTCTATCTTTAATATACCTCAGTGATGTCCAGAGTGTATCGCTTCCTTAACGACTGCGAACCGCTTCAGCGACGGTCAGTTTCCTTCCGCTGCAGATGGTTTGAACTTTCTGAGGTGTTTTCACCCAGATCGTTCATGGTTCTGTATTTCGACGGGCTCGTGGCTACGCCAGACCCGATGCGGTCCGTCACCTGGCCGATGCGGACCTCGGAATCGTTAACGCTAATTTTTTTCTAAAAACCTGGAGATTGTGGAGGTCGCTCCTGCTCCTGTTGTGCCATCCGTGTATCCGCAGTACCCCGGATCGGCGCTCATTATTATTCCACGGCCCACTGGACTTTGGGCGGCTTTGTCACCCATTTCACTTACCGTCTCGGCGTGACCGTCGACCCTCGGCAGTGGGAAGTATAATCAGCTCTTTGGCTTTTGTGCCGGCGTTTTGCCCCATACAAAACCTTAAAATGCTGGTCGAAGCAGCCTTCATGTGGCTGACGTAATTTTAATTTTTCTGCGGGACCTTCGGGTCCAGGTACTACACGCCCCCATGCGCTAACAGATAAAAAAAACTCTCCTCGTTTGTTTGCTCAAACGCCACTCCAAATATTTATCCTTAAACATCTGTTCTTATCAGCTTAACATCTGATACACCTTTCATTGAAAGGTTCAAATGTTAAACTAATTTTTTCAAAATTGGTGGAGACTTTGGGGCTTGCTCCTGCTCCACCGCTGGTTGACCCGGTATTGCAGTACCACCGGGAACGGCCCACATATCAAATGATCGTAGTAGCATAAGTAAAGGAAATTTATTTACAAAACTAAACATTTTCGATTTTGAAACTTGAAATTTTTCGATTTTCGAAATTTTTGATTTTGAGTTTTTCGAAAAAAAATTTTGGATTTATTTTCCTAATTATAAATTAGTGAATTTCTGATGCGTCCGTCTATGATATGGTTCACGTATTTCGAAATTTAGGATTTTGGATTTCATCTTTTAATAAATTAAATCCCTAGTTTCCGAAACTTTCTGATTTTTCCCCAGTAATATATTACCTATTGCACTTGGATTGAATAACCCAATTTTGGTTAAATACCAATTAATATTTCGTGTTACACTCAGAGGGGTGGGGGGTCTTTAGAGTTTTTCTAAAATAATTTTTAATTTAATGTCATAAATTAGGCCAAAATAAACACGGCCGACGGTTCTGGTTACGCCTCCTGTATATTGGAATATATTGTTTCTTATAAATAATTTAATTTCTAACTTTTCAGATCTACCAGTTCAACAATAATATGTATCTAAATTATATAATACAATTTTATTTCATTCATTCATGTACCAACTATATTATGTCTAATCCATGTCCGATACTTTTTTTCATAATGTATTATATCTATTTAAAAAAACGTTCCATTTACTATATGTAGGTAGGTAACTATTATTGTAATAATCGATTTTTCGATCATTCTGTAATTGCCATTATCATTTAATTCAGGCCCATTTAGTCTATACTATAACCCATGCTCAAATAATATGAAGAAAATATTATTAATAATAACTATTCTTCAGCCGATTTTCTTGATTTGCATTTTTACGAAGAAGCGTTTGATTTTGAAGTAAAGATTAACAAAAAATTGCTAAACATTAAAAAATATTATTACGGTAGTAGTTATTCGCGTTTTTGTATTCCGTGTCATAACAAATCGACGTGAGTTGCTGTCTGCTGTGTGCACACACACACACACTCGTGACCTCCAACAAAGCTCTACGTGCCTATTGCCTACGTGTACGACAACTGTTGTGTTCGATACGAGTTTTATTGTAATGGCAAAAAAACTGCTCGCCAGTTACTGTGTCGTGTGACGGTGGTGGCGCGAAATAGTAAGGCGGGGAGGATGGCTAGGAATATATTGTGCACGAGAAGAAAACGTCGAAAATAACTATACTTCTTTAAATAATGTTTGTATACATATTAATACAATATTATGAAATAAATGATCAAACCATGATCAAAACATCCAACAATTTAAAAACAAAATACATTTTATCTTAATTCTGTGATCAAAACTTCAAAACGTGTAAAGTTTAGTATTTATTTAGTATCTGTTTTGAATTGACTAATTGCCGCCAATTTTATTTTGCATCAGACATTTGAAAAAATCATGTAAATCAGTGCAGTTTATCTTCAGATTTGATAATTCGTTATTATTCCTCATAGGATAATTCAATATTTCAATATCATAGGTGATAGGTAAATTAAACATTTATGTTTTTGCTTGAAAATAGCGCGTGGGCCAGAATGAGAAAATAAACTGTGCACAGACATCCTCTTTTAGTAAAACACCAATCCCAACAATTATATAGAATACACATTTGTATGGTCAATACAATTTAATAATTCATTTAACTTAAACAATTTTTTCATTTTTCAAGTTGAATATAATATAGTCAAATAGAAAAAATGTAAAACTGATATTTCGAAACCTAATAATATTAGTCTTAATTTTTGGTGATACCAAAATATTCAAATTTCCTTTCATTATTATAATATTCTTCATTGACATTATATTATTACGTTACTTAACTCGGTAGGTAGTTCCTTAGTTCACTAGTTCACTATTAATACGTATTCGTATATAGTTGATACAACAGTAAAGTCTGAAATACTGAATTTCGTATGAAAATTAAATAGCATAACTCGTCAGTCATCAACTGTTTGGTCGTCGTCGGTTGGCATAAACATGAACAAATGTGGGTTTTGGACCATTCGTGTAATATTAAATTACAAAATAAATATCAGTTAATACTGAGGATAACAACTAATTAGTCATAGCGTAATGTTTTGCGTTATATTATCAGGGTTGGGCAGTATCTTAGATACAATTGTATCTTGTATCTTATATCTCGATACAATTATACTGGATAGAGTATCTTGCATCGAGTATTTCATGACATAATTTAATCGAAAGATAAGATACTCGATACATAAATGCGACACTTAAAAAAATTAATTGTTTACAATTATTTTCACTCGCCTATCTAGTAGTATAATAGTCCTACATACCAACTACGACTGTTCGACTATATTTTCAGTATATGTGTAAAAGGCGAGGTAAATTTAAATTTATGTATTAATTAATTAATTTCAAATTAATAACAATTCTGATTTTTACTATCATAATTAACTTTATTTTGCGAATACAAATGCAAATACGTAGTTATACAGCCTACAGGTGATTTTTCGGAAGTTGTAGCCTACAATTTTTAACCCATTAGCCATTAGACATATTTAATTATATTTGTGGACTGTGGCACACCACCTATGCATTTTGAACTGAACTTAACGCATTTACAGTCTATTGTAGATACCCATATGGCTGTATATGGCTGTATTAGATATCCGTAATCTGTACGACATAGTTCATACTTCATAGTGCATTAGTGCATCGTACATGTATATTGTATAGTCTACCTTTCACGTGACCGATGAAGGCGCGTTAGTTTATTTCACAAAAAATATAAAAAAACAATTTTTTTTTCAGTTGTGTAGTCCTTTAAGTATGTAAAGACACGATACGATCAGTAGATACCTACAATAGATACGTACTTATTGCGTATATATGTAGTTTATGAGCTATGATTATCTAAATAAAAATGTACATGAATAATAATTAATTGTGTTGTAGAATATTATTATTAAGTTATTAAATATGTGGTCTTTACTCTATATTAACTAATTAATACATATATTTATGTTTAAAATAACATGCAATTTAAAAAAAAATTTATTTGATTTTTAATTTTTGATCAAGTTTCTATGTGTTTTGTTATTCATTTGTTGTCATTATAAAATAAATTTGCTATTAATTATAATTATCTATTTATTGAAGAACCAAAATAGAAGAGATTATGTAACGTCAAATGTCAATACATTTTGTCAATTTATTATTTATAGTTATCTATAACACAAATGTGCTAAGTTACAACGTACAGCCAGTAAGTTTTTTCAGTTTATATTTTATTTTTATAATATTATATAGGATGTTACGGGAAGACCTTACAAATTAAATACATTTTGTTCTAATTGTAAAACAGAAAAAATTAAAAAATATTGATTAGAACAAAAGCTATTTTATTCGTCAGGTCTTCCAGTATAGGGACCACTCTTTGGATGTAATATTATAATAATAATATGTGCAGTACCATTTTTTTACAACAAGAAAAAAAACATTAAATGCTATTTTAGAAATCTTTGTGTTTATTTTTGTTTTATTTATATCTACTTAACACGGGGGCCTAAAATGTTTAAACACGGCCCTTGTAAAACCTAAATATTAGTGTCAAATATTATTAATTCAAGCAATTGCAATACAGTATTTTCCTATACAATTGGTAAAGACAGTGTGATGTGATCCTATTATATACCTATGATAGTATATTAGTATATTAGTATAATATACTATATATATAATATGATATACTATATACTATATCATCTATTATGATCATTCATGATAAAAACGTGTATGTGAATATAGTAGTAAATTGCACTATTGTAATTCGCAATAAATTACCGTATTTGGCGTGTCTTAAAGTAGCTGTGAAATATAATCTTTAATATTTAACATTTTTGTTTGGTAGTCGAATCATTCATGGTTAGGAGTGCTGGCGATGGCCGACGCTCGGAATCGCGTTTCCTGTGTTTCGGTTGGATTTTTGAGTTTTGACCTGCTTTTCTGGGTAGGCATTGGATCAATTGAGACTAATTGGCCCATAATAATATTATATTAGTATGCGTTTCAGCAAACAGGATATCCCAATCAAAATTTGACACCGACGTGGCAGGGCTCAAGGCGACTTAGCTCCGTCTATAACAATAATTAAGATAAATAACGACTTGGGATCTTTACTCACACCGATACTACTCCACTTTGTAATTTAATTCTATGATACATTATTTTAACGATATATCAGTTATAACTTATAGCGATATCGACTTTATAGACCGGGCATTGATTAAATACCTACTACACTTCACTACGATCGTCTTTATAATCTTAGACCTCGGTGACTACAGACTGGTGACAATTGACAAATTAGCAATCTGTGAGAGGTCGTACAACTTGCCAACGATGATTGTGGCGTTGCCGTATAACTATTATTATAACTAAACACCACTGTCACAATATTTTTATTCACGACGAAAAAACATTTACTTCGTCATGATAGATATTTCCGGGTATTTCTAAAGAATTAGGCAATGGCTAACGTGAAAGAACGGTTTTTTTCGGTGAAAAATAACAAACCAACAATAATTGAGTTTCGAGATATTCTGTATAACAGTTTTGGTCTGCGAGTACGGTCGTCCGCGGAGACAGAGCGGCGTCGGGCGGGCGCGTCGACCGACGAGTGTGTACATCAAGGGACACAAATACACAATAGCACAGACTAATCGAATAATCTATGTATAAAAAAATGACCTAGTAGCGGTTTCTGCGATAGTGTGACAACGGTCGAGGTCGCCGCACATCCAACAACAATTTCAAAACAGAATGAATTAGATTGTGTCGATGATCAAATTGCCCATGTGACAAATGACAATAATTAAAACTTGAAACGTGAAAGATTTACACTGCATTACTGCAAACACAAGATAAAATGCCCACGGTACCAGAATCCAATCAATAATAACAATAATCACCACCTTCTCGTGGATCGCCATCGATTTTTATCGTACGATACTACGATGCTCAGCCCGCCGACTATTCTGCTCGACCACGAATTAAATGATGATACTATCATCATACGGTCATGGGTACACAGTGTGCTATACGGGATGCCCGACGAACTCGAGAGCTTATCATCGGGAGATGCAAAATTAAAACCTTATCAATCACTAACACTATTTAACAATTTAACAACAACAACAACAATAAATAATAATTTTAATTCATAATATTCTAGTGTCGTCACGTTTAGAACCTAAGACCAAACGGCAATCACTCACAATTCTGAAGTTATCTGATTACAGCTGTGAGGTAAGTACGTTGTTTACGATTTGAATTTTTTTACAAACACATCGTGCATGCTTTATTTTAATATCTTATGATTTTTCTAATCTGCCCAAATCAAGATTTCGATGTTCTATACTATCCATAGGACAAGAATTGAGTAAAGAAGAATGGGGGTCCTTAGGGCTAAGTTCAACAAATCTTTTGTTAGCTTACGATTTAATGGTACTGTTTATGATGGAATTACAAAAATGTTTGAATTGATAAGAATTTAGATTATTATACTTTTGATTATGTTATTCTATTCTGTCCAATTCAACTATTTAAGTACCACAAACAATGATCCAAATACCTATCTGTTAAAATAGTGCTCTACATTTTGGCATATTAGTGTTTTTGACATATGATTTAGTCATGTTTTATTTCATGCTGAAATTGTTTCTTGTAGGTTGTTATTACAATTGTTTGGACGTATTCATTTGTTTGATTACATTACATATTCCACCCGAAGCATTGTCTTTTTTTTGTCTCAATCAGTTTATAAAGAAATCGCAAAAAATAGTTATTCATCATGTCAACGGACGAAGTGGAATCCGAAATCCATTTCATGAAAACTTATTGCATAATGAAATGGGACGAACTAATGTAAGCATACATTTCTTAATCCAGTTATATATTTTAATCACATTCCTAAAATATATGGATAATTTTTTTGACTTTATTTTTACATTTAAGAAAACTCAATGATAATCGTAAATCACTTAACCAGAAAATCACACTTGGGTTGGCTACCAGAGAGGATTTGATGAAACAAATAAAAGTTGAGCTAAGTATGCTGGATACGTGTCAACTTAAAATTGATGTAAGACTTCCTATGTCATTTGATATTTTTTCAATTATTACTAATAATATTATTTTTCTTTTATAGCAAGAAATGAAAGAAAATGATACAGCATATATTAACACTGAAATTCTTACTATTTTATCAAATCGTATCAATGATATGTACAACAGTATGTTTTTACTGTTTCCTGTTGAAAAGACTACATTATCAGAATATATAGAATTTTGCTCAAATAATGTAAGTGAACAAATTACAACATCAATACTGGGTTGTATGGAAAATTAATTAATTTTGTGGATCAATCTTAAGCCACTAAATCATATTTATGGGACCATTAGCTCACTATTGATTCAACAAATATTTAGTTATGTTCATGCAACCTGGCATAATGGTTTTAAATTTTTATACACAATATGGGATGTGGTTTTTTAATTGCTCTATTGTCTATAAACAAGGATGGGCTTTAACAGGTTAAAAATTTTAATTAAGTTAGAACGTTAAGTTAATATTAACTAAGTTAAATACCTCGTTACTTTTTTTTAAACTAATTTTTAATTTAATTAGTTCCATTTTTAACTTATTTAACTCCAAGTTATTTTCAAATAAATGTATTAAAATGTTAAATTATTGCCTTATGAAATATTAGATAGGTATCATAGTTTATAGAAATTTTAAAGAATAATATATAGACAATGTAGAATTATTAGTTAGTGATTAATGATTGTTTCCTATTGATAAATAGTCGTACTTAGTTATAAAGATATTACTAAATGTTTATATTATATTATGTATAGTATATAGTCATACAAGTAGTATATACAACACAAGTTATATGATACTAAAGCTATAGTGCCCTAATGATACTAGGTATTATTTTATTATTATGGATTTACAAATTAGGATTACTCTATATAATTATTACTCTATATTACTCTATATCTTAACTGGTCCACTCTAAAAACAAAATAAGTAGGCAGTTATTTTGTTCTCATATTATATTTACTACTTTTATAATTGCCATGTATTACAAACATAGTTCTAATAAGAACATTGGATATATTATCAATTTATTGACCCCCCCCCCCCTTCCAACTATAAACATAACCAAATTACTCCACTACTACACACACAACAGGCACTTATCACACAAAATCAATAAAAAAAATTGTTACTTCGTTTTAACAATGTACCTATAGTCCTTAATGGTTGATAATTTTAAGAGTACGCTACACCCGCATGTGTTATCTCTTTCTTACAAATGTTAAACATAGCAAAAACTGTTTTGTCATAATTAAGACATTTTGAACTATAACTAACTAAGAACATTTGCTTATTTTTTGATATCAGAACTGAAAAAAAGTTATTTAATTATGAAAAACACAAAAAGTATGAATTTTGAAACAATAAAAACCTTTTTTTTATAAGTGATAATAAAAAAATAAGAAAGATATTTCATAGATTATGTTTTCGAATATATTGTGTATCAATTTGGAGTCTTAACTATCACTATAGCCTGAGTGGTTCTATTCTGCGCAAAATAGTTTTTGCCATGTTTTACATTTGTAAGACGGAGACAGTACATGCTGATGTAGCGTCCTCCTAAATAGCGTTTTCAACTTTTCAGTTTTTTTATTTTTTATTATTAAGATAAAAATTCAATCCGTAGCTGCTATGGCCATTGGACGTGACATTGCATTACATCTTGTAGGTTGTAGATATTAATAAGACATATGGATTACAAAATAGTTAATAATGGTAAATAAATACCTTTTTTTTTCTTAATAAATAAATAATATTCTTGAGTTAAAACAAAATAAGATATGCAAACAAATATCAATATAAAATATAGATATAGATATTGAATAAGTTACTTTAGAGGTAAATTTTTTCAGACTATTATAAGACGTGTTATTGTGTTATCTCAAATTGTCTGATGACAAATATTTATTAAATAAAATCTTAGAATTTTATAATTGTTATTTATACAGCGATTTTCTAATGTACATCCGAGATCTAGGACAATTAAACTCCCTAATATTTAAAAATAAAATTGAGGAGGCAAATACGGCCCACTGACTTTTCTTAGGGATCTCTAAGACTCCGAGCTTGGAGACAAGCCCGGCACAGAAACCCGAGTTTGAACGCATTTTAAAAAATTTTAGGTAAGTTAATTTTAACTTAGTTAATATGTTTAAACCATTAGTTTTTAACTTAACAAAGCTAAAATATAATGTTATATAACTTTAACTTATGAGTTTCAAAGAATTGTTGCTTGCCCGGCCTTATCTATAAATACTATTGAAAAATCTCTAGAGCTTGCTTTATATTATAATAATTTTAGTTGTAAGTTTATGGTGAACAGTGGTGCCAAGAACGTGGTTCAATTCTGGCAACTGCCTGACCTAATTTAAGAGTTAGGTTCCTAGTATATTTTATTATATATTTAATATTTATATTACTATATGTATACAATAGTAAATTATTTTACCTAACAATACGATAGGTTGAATTAATTTTTGGTCAGAATATTACATTTATTATATTATTGCTAGGGCTCAGATTTCGATCTTTTCAAAGTTTTGTCTTTAATGCTTGAGACAATGCTTTACAAGATACTAATGTGTTTCAAGTACACACTATGCTAACATCAAACTCTATTTAAGTTTTTTAACAAATATAAATGCTTTTAGGTCATTTAAAACATATTTCTAGAAAAATAACGAAAAAATAATAATATATAGAGTGTAACAGGAAGACCTGACAAATTAAATAACTTCTGTTCATATCAATATTTAAAGTTTTTTTTATATATAATTTATTGTCATTTACTTTACATGTATGGTATAACATTTTTTATTTGTATATTCATGTATCATTATTCAAATTCATTATTCACGTTTCAAAATTGAATTGAATAAAAATTATTTGTAAAAATTATTTTACAAATTATACAATCATAATATCACCTATATTGAATATAAAAATATAAAAATATTAGAAATAAAATTAATTATATGTTAAAAATTGTAATAGACAATCTACACAATTTCAAGCATCGCACATTAAATTTAATTACCTAAGTTTAGTTTAAATATTTAGAAAATCATATATGTAATGATTCTTTTAGTCATTACAGTGCTTTCTGAATTCTAATATTATGAGTGAATGATTTTGACACCAAATTATTCAGTTGGAGTTACATCATAATCGCGTTTATTTTGAGTTTACTATTAAAGATGCCAAAAGCTTAACAAACAGTATTTTTTTGCAATTCTACAGCATTGCGCCTGTACATCTTTTTTAGATTTTTTGATTTCAGTGTGAACTTTTCATGAGGAACCTTGTATTAAATTGCCTTAAGTATAAAAATGAAAGATTTTATATATTTTTTGTTAGTGGGAAACTGGGCCCTTTTCAACTTAATTTAATAACATTTTTATTGTTGTGTATAATTTATTAATATTTGTGCTTAACAAAAAAAATCAATAAGACTAATAATTATATGTAATAATATATTAGTATTCACAAATTATATACCTATGTATAAAGATCACACTGTATTGGTTACTAAACATTTGTAACTAAACATTTTTCCCCTTGATTTTTGTTTTTCAAATTATTGTAAAGTGTCATTGAAAATTGAAATCTATTAATTGAAAAATAACATTTTATAATGTTATTGACTGTGGCTTGTTCTATATTTATTTTTTATTATTTTCAACTCAGAAAATTGTGTTTTGGCCCAACAATTGGAAACCAGGATGGTTAAATACAATATAAATGCTATTACAATATTTGGGAATAACTACATTTTACAATGATTTTTAATAAATTTAATACATCACTTTCATCAAATTGCATTTTACAATTTACTTATATTCAAAAACGTTTTAAAATTGAACAATTGAAAAATCAATATAATTTTTATAGAAATAAAATTCTTAATGCTCTTTTGAACTTAAGTATCTGGATCTGCTCAACAACATAATTTAGTAGTAAATAATATGTAAATATATTATGTAACTATATGCAGCAATTTTAGTTTCTAGTTCTAAAACAAATTTATCAATAATGATATAATTAGTTTCAATTCTCATTTTGTCTTGCCCTTTATATACAACTTCTTTTTTACTGCCATTCAGTTCTATCATCAGGATACTTTTTTCTTATTCTGTATATATAGAGTCTCTTAAATTTGACCTAATAAACTAAACCTAATATAAATTATTACCACTTACAACCACCGATAATAAAAATATATATATATATGCGTACAATCAATGTAGTTCACAAGTCACAATTCCTATTTTAATTTACAAACTTTATCTTATTGTTATCAATATTATTTAAATATCAATTTAATATTTATCATCATTATTTAGAATTTTTTTGTGGTGTGAAATTAGGAACATTTTTATTTTAAACTAGGTTAAGTACCTAGTAAAATAATTTTATTTTTAAAAACTTTTATACATGTGTGAGCATTTAAAACAATATTGTGTGGATAAAAATAAGCCTCCAAAATCAATGGGCCACAAACCGTGCCCCAATTAATCTAGGCTTGGTATCAACAAATATTTGATGATTGTAGACAGTTGAGGATATAAGATAGGATGGGCCAATTTACCACTAGTTACGCTGAACTCAAGCATAGCAGTAACATAACTATAACTAGAAATTTTTTATGAAAACAATTTATAAAATTAATTTTTTTGTATTTTAAAAATATTGATGTTTCATCTACACTTATTTAATGTTGTATTAAAATTTGTTGGTGATCCCTTCCAAGCATTTAATTTTAATATGTCGGTGCCACTGATAGTAAGTGATGACTGATGACCATATTTTGCCCAACGAGAGAATGCAACTAGGCGGTGACCAAAACATATCAGGACTGGTGACGACCGCAAACCCTATGGTGGGAGAATCTATACCTTGCACTGTCATTTGTATGCACGACAGATTTGCACCCTTTTGCTGAATAGAGTACATTCAAAAATGATGACTAATAATCAGGGCTCAGGACTTAAAGCATTTGATTATTTTTATGGATTGACTTAAAATGTAACGAGAGTGCTATAGAAGTGTATGTCATGTTAAAATGCGTTCAATTATGGAATTTGAAAGTGCTTTTTTTGCTTTTTTCAGCGATTTTTCAAAAAGACACTTATTTCCAGTTGTTCTGATTATTTTTTGCTTTATTGACGAGTTTTTCTACTTATTATGGGTTTTCATGCAATGTTGTTTATGATAGATTTTAAATTAAAAATAATTTTTATTTTATCTATGTTGTCGCGTAGACAAGTAATCCGTCGTCGTCCATGGCATCGTTGCAGGATTAACAAAAATATCCTAACGCTCAAAATAGAACTGGATTTTGGGGAATTAATATAATTGAGTTCATGTTTATTAGTTAATAAAAATAAATTTATTTGACCGTCATGGTTTACAGGTATGATAAATACAAAAAATATTTTGATAGATTGTTAAGATTTGTTTTGATTTTAGAGTTAGACATTTTTCTTAATCATTTTGTTTCAATCAATTTTTTTTTTAAATTTGACTCAAATTCAAGTTTTTAAAATGCTTAATTGAGTGCTTATAATGATGTTTTTAAGCGCTTTTTTGAGCACTTATATTAATGATTTTAAGTGCTATAAGTCCCGAGCCCTGCGTATAACTATTGTTAAAAATATATTTTAGACTACCAGTTGAACACTATATAAAGATATGTATGATGACAATTTAATGCCTTATATTTTTATTGTTGTCTCACATACATGCAATCCAAAATAATATTAGTATCTTCAAAAGTTTAACTGTCCTGTATAAAAAAACTAATCATTAAAATATAAGATATAAGTAGATAGCAATAATATCATAGACGTATTAAATGTAGTACTAGTCTTCATGGGTAATAATCATCAATCATCCAATAATTAAATAAATAATAATAATAAATAATAAATAATATATAATTCTTCTTTTAATATAATTTCTATTTCAATATTTTTTCTTTCTAAATAATAATAACTATCATTTTAATGTTGACAATAATTAATTAATTATTGTTGTATTAGAAAGTTTTTGAATACTTTAATTTTAAAATAATTGTTGAAGAAATATGCATACATAGTATATTTCTATTTTATTACCAAATTAAAAATAATTTATTGATTCAAATTTGACTGAATTATGATAAATTAATTTAATCATTATAAATTCATGATTTCAGACATTGTTTATTACTAAATGTAGCAACATGTTAGATACTCTTATGTCGAGATATCATAGTGATCCTGAAGTGTACATAACTGCAGCAACATATGAATTTGATGATCGAAATGATGTAGAATCAGCTAGAAAATATTTTGCAGAAGGATTAAAATATCACGAAAATTGTAAAAATCTATATGTAGAAGAGTTCTGGGTAGAAGTACAACATTTAGAAAAGACTGCAGGTGCCTCACTACCAATTGCTATTGAAAAATATAGAAACCTCATAAAACGTTTTGAAGGTGATATCGAATTTCATTTTATATTATTGGACAGAGCAATACAATTAAGCTCAGCAGGAGAATTGCAATGTAATGTTGTCAGGTATTGATTAATTTTTGTTATTAATAATTTTTATTTTTAAAATTATATTTATATAATATATTTATATATTTTTTATGTAGAGATATGGTTAGAAAGTATAGACATAGTGAACTAATGTGGCAAAAATTAGCTAAAATTCATTTTGATGGTTTTATATATCACCAGGATACTGAGCAATTACACTATGATAAAAATTATACTAGTGGTATTAGGTCTGTATTTAAAAATTCTATGAGAAAATATGTTTTTATGATATTTATTTAATTGTTCTATAGAAACTGCATTAAAACCTATGAGGACGGATTGAAAGAAAATTTACCACTTAACAATAAACATAAGTTATGGAACTTTTATATTGATCATATTATAGAAATTCGGAAATCTTACCGCATGAAAAAAGAAACAATTAGAAATTTTATGAATGAAACTATGGAGCGAGCCTTTCAAGAAGCTCATGATAACAAGGCGTTACTTAAAGCTGAATATTACATTTATTGGGTACAATCTCACAATTAATAATTATTTACTTAATATAAACAACAATTTGTTCATTTATTTTTATTTAGGCTGAAAACACAAATAAAGACTGCCATAGGATTCTGAGAAAAGCAGTTGAGGTGATAGAAGATAGTGTAGAACTCTGGATTAATTTAATATCATATTATTTAAGCTATGACAGTCTGGAAATGGGCATTGAAGCCTTTCAAGCTGGTGTTCGGGCTTTGACAAGCAATTCGATGCCCTTATGGGAAATTCTAATTTTATATCTGGGAAACACTCATCCAAAATTGGTAAAATAAGTACCTAATATATTTCTATAGTTTCTCGATGATAAATCTTTACAAAATTAATTTATTGAAACTCGGGTATTTAACATTAACCCATTGATACTATACTCTGTTCAGCAAGAAAATGCACTGTTTCTGTGCACCCCCTCCTCCATGCCAATCTATTATCGATGGTGGTTTCCCCCATCGAGGGTGTCAGTGGAAATATTCAGAAAACCGGATTTTAGTAGCACCGCAGTGGGTTTTCTCCCTGTAACAGAGTATAGAATATAGATAGGTAGTTCATGAAGATAATACTTGTAAATTTTGTTGATAACCATAGTTATAAAAAAAAAATCATTAATAACATTTTACATGCTTATTAGCTTCGTTCTAGCTTTAAAATAAATTGTGTCTATACTCCATATCATTTTATTTCTGTATTTTCTTTCATACAGTATTAATATTTTAGACTACCTTGGACCATAATATTACATAGATTTAAATTAAAACATTTTATTTATATCTTCATCATTTAAGGCAATCTCAACTATATTTAACTTTTCTTATAAAATAACTTAAGACTGCCAATTAATTTTTTATTTTATAATAGTAATCACAGGCATTTTGTTTTGAAATCTTGTGTAAAATGTATTTTTTCCGGTAGCAGATATCTCCATACTACAGACATTATTGAATACTTGCCTTTTAAGTGCTTGATAGTTATACTATAAATATTATTTTCCCCCTATAAATATTTTATGATTTCTTTAAAAAAGTATTTATTCATATTTAGCTCCAACAATTATATCACGAAGGTTCACGTTTTCCATTCCCAGAAATAAATTTTGTAATCAGGCCTAAATATTTGGAATGGAGTGTAGTTCACGAAGGAATACTTTCAACTCGTGAATTGTTCATTGAACTCAGAGATATAAAACCAGAATGTAAACAGCTGTATACAACCATGATTTCATTTGAACTCGCTCAGAACTCCGGAATCACCAAATTGAAAACTATTAGAAAATTGTATAATGATTTATGTAATGCTTTTGGCTCAACAGATATTGGTGAGTTTTAATTTGTCCAATAGTTTGTTTTCTTCAACTTGTTATTGAAACTGATTTTAAATTGGTTATACAGGAGTATGGTTCGACTGCATCCGTTTTGAGTACCTGTATGGTTCTCCTAAATTAGTGAAAGAAATTTATAAAGCATCATTAGTGTGTTTGAAACCAGATTTAAGGAGTATTATGGCAGAAGAGTTTGAACAACTTAAGGAAGAATTCATGTATGAGTTACTTATTTATTGTACAACGTACATTTCATACATTTTCTGATGTTTTTTTTGTTTTGATTTTAAGGGAGGATGATCCTAAAGATGGAGGAGTTATTGTTATTGAAGATGATGAATAATTTTATAGTTACAACAAAAATGTTTTTAAGTAGTAAATTGGGTACTTCCTTTTTATGTCTGTGATATGTGGTATTAATTTAAAGTCTGTTTATTATTAATGATTATTTTTATTTATTTTTTAAGTGAAAAAAGCGTAAAACAACAAAATATTTATTTATTTTTTAATATTATACCTATTATTAAATATAATGTAACATGTATGTACAATATTTACGAGTAAGACATTTATCATATTGTTTAAGCAATTCATAGCAATAAAAAATAATAATATTGAATGTCATGGATGTAGCAGTTAACCCTGACTATCATCTAATTGGTAAATTTATTGAATTTTTATATACAAACTATTGAAATTATTTAATTAACAAAATTGAAAATAAACAAAAAAAAAAATATATATTTTAATGGCTCATTACTTTTATCAATAATCTTATTGTATTTAATAATTGACTATATTAACAATTGTTCAGACTTCTGTTGTTAACAATAATGATCATTTCATCAAAGAATAGCATTTACTCTAAGTGTTATTAGCTATTTCCTAAGTATTGCCTGAAGTGTAAAGATTTGTTTATTACATCAAAATTGAGTTTATTTTTCTGCAATAAATCAAACATCTGCTTGGAAATGTTGTGTTTGTTTAGCCGAAATCTGAGCCATAGACATAAGTATATAACTTAATCACTCTTATTTTATTGATCAACAGTAAAACTAGTTTAGTACTTAGTAGCAGTTGGATATACAGTTACTGTGTATACTGTACTATAGTAAAACTTTGATATCTTAAAATTAAATAAGTTTATTAAAATAAAATTTATTTTCAAGCTTTTAAAAAAAAAATCAACATTTATAGAGTAGAGACACGTCATTAAACACAATTCTTAATAATTTTGATATTAAATTTACTATCCTAATAGTTTTGGTTTTTTATTTAAGATTTAACTAACAGTTAATTTAATTATTATTATCCCTTCACTAAACAAATGACTTAGATTTTTAAATTGCCAATTTCTTTTTTCTACAAAATGAATGAAGGTTAAACATTTTAAAGAAATCCAATACTGTTTACAACTGTAAAAGGAAAAAAACAGTTTTTTTCCAGTATGTTTAATTACATACAATTTAATGTATCCTCCATAACACAATTTACAATTACTGAAAGTATTAAAAAGTACATACATTTAATCTTAGTAAGGTGCTAAGACAATTTCCTCAACAAAATGCAAATTAATGTCATCGTTTGAATAAAAATAATATGATACTTTCAACAAAATATCTTGATATGTATCAATTAAATGTATGTCTTACACTTAAGATTGTACTTATAAAGTATATAAATTAATTGGAAAGTCAGCAGCTCTAATTTAAAAAATAATGTAGATATTGAAGACTTTTGCCAAAAATTTAAAAATAGCTATTTTGTAGAATTATTCAATTGTAATATAGACAAAAACTTTTTTGAAATCGGATAATTTTAAATTGATGAAATAAATTTATACTTTCAAAAATACAGCATAATATTGTAATATTGTATCGTTTTCATATTAAAAGAACTAATGCTATACTTCAATATTCCAACAAATAATAATTAATAAACAACACACTAGTTGAAATCGTTTTATGATTCAATTTATGTTAAATGAATTGCTACGAAAAAGTTAATTTTATAGGACCATGATCTTTGTATCATAATTAGAGTTATAATCCAAAGTGTGCGAGATATTCTCAGTGATATGATAATTTTACTACAAAAATCATGAGCCTATAAAACTGACTTTTTTTATAGCAGTTCATGCTGGATATATCAAACAATTGTATGAAACAAATTACAAAATATTACAAACAATTTCAACAAGTACCTAGTCCTAGTGTGTTTTATATGACCTATTGGATTGTAACATTAATGATAACATTTTATTATGTACTCAAAATGCTAATACAGACATTTAGTAACAATTTCAAACACACAGTTTTTCATTTTTTGAGTTACTCTAAAAAAACAGAAACAGTTTTTGATTTAAAATGCTAGTTATTCCTTAATTTTTTTTCCTCAATGATCTATAAATCACTGTTTGTGTAAAAATACAAATTTGCAAATGATTTTACTAACAATTTTGAGCAAACGGCTGTAAATGCTTAAAAACATGAATATCCAGATACTAATTGTATAGGTTGTCTTTTTTATCTAGGGCAAAGTGTATGGTGTCAACTTCAAGCAAATTCTCTTAGTAAAAGATATAGAGAAGATGGAGAATTCAGTCTGAAACTACGTCAGATTATTGCTCTTGCAGTCTTGCTTATCTTCCACCGACCGAAATACCATATGCATTTGAAAAATTGAAATCCATTATTCCTAAAAAAGCTTCTGGGATAATGCAGTGGCTTAAGAACAATTATGTGCATTGTAGAATTCGAAGGATAACGAGAGGAGTTAATGTAAGGTATATTTATGTAGGTATATTTTCACCAACATCTCTTCCATATTTGAGCAAATGGAGTTAGGAATACCTAGAACTCTAAACTGCGTAGACAGTTGGAAACTCATGTTGGAAAATGTCATGTTTGTGTTTATACAATTATCGGAGAAATTTAAAAAAAAGAGAATTCAAATGGGACGGAGAGCCAAAGATATAATTCATCGAAGGGTACATACTCTAACTCTTAGAGAATACGCTGAACAAGAAAAAAAAAGTATTAGTGTAATTATAAATGACAGTAAAAATTGTTCTAATATATCATTTTTAAGGGAAATCACTCATTAAATCAGAAGTAATGTTGATGTTTTATTATTATTTTTTAAATTATTTTTAATCTTTGAGGCATCTTTTATAACCGTTTATAACATTAATTTTGAATGTAACATTGAATAGTAAATAATATAATATCTTATTGAATCTTTGAATAATTGTTGATACATATTTATTTTTAATAAAACTTGATATTATCGGACAAATGTGTTACTAATAGTTGTATAATTTTGAATGTAATATTAATTTGTTAAAAATAGAATATATTACTGAAAGAAGTGTACGAAGCCAATTCTACTACTATATTCAATATAACACTAATGACCTAAATATACCCAAGACTTATATTATGTATTGTTATAATGTAATACACATTAAAGATGATGAATATCTACAAATGATTGTGCCTAACTAAACAATGAGGTAACATTGATGTAGGACATAGGTCATAGGTACTTAGATTTGTAAATAATAAACAATGCTGGATTACAAATTTGGATTTCTAAAAAACGGATTTATTCTAGAAAAATTAAGTCATTTCCTGTGCAATCAACAAAACTAAAAAGTAGGTACCTAACAGAAAACTGTCTCACGATTACACACTAATATGAATTACTATAATTAAAATTTGTAATGGATGTTAAATATAAAACAGTTATTTTGAATTTATTTTTCAAATAATTAAAACTAATTTTTCAACATTATTTTTAAACGACAAAAAATATGATTTATAAAAAAAATGATACATTTTAATTTGTATTAGGTATTGTAAACAAATATTTTGGCTGAGTTTGTGGTTAAATTTTCAATTGTTTTTATAAATTCAATGCAAAAGACTAAAAGTACAATATAATATTAAATTAATATTTTTTATTAGTTCCAAAAGTGTAAGAGAATAAAAAGTAAACTGGGTCACCAAAAATAGAAAAAATTGCACTGGCTATACCAGTGGACTTGTAAATTTTTTTATGAACTAGAAAATACTGGCCAATTATAAGGAATCGGACAAAACCTGCCATTTCAAACATATGGATGAAAAAAGGCAGGTTAGATACTTGAAGTTGGCCCACCTTTCTTTAATTTTGTTCTGTACTTGAAAATAATTACTTTCATAATTAAAAACCTAACTTGTAAATTGTTGCTAAATGGTTGATGAGGGTTAAATTGATTTAAGAGAAAGTGGGCCAACTTAACGACATTATATTTGTGGGTATAATATTATAAGCGTACTGATTTGATATGAATTTAGCTGTGCTTTTATAAATGTTTGTAAAGTAAACAATGTTCCAACCTTTTCAACAACTTTCAGCAAAAACTATTGGATATAGATTATTGGGACTAAATTATTTTTACATTATACCTATGTATTCCATTATATACAATATACGGTCATGTTGCGTGTATTAACATATATTGAATTGAATTGACCATAGACCACAGTAATATTATTAACTATGTTAGCATGCAGGTCTTATATGAAGAATAAATTTTTTAACGAGTTATATGAGTACTTACTTTAGTAAAATATAGCAATTTAAAAAATGATTTTAAGTTATAACTAGGGCTCGGGACTAACACTTAAAATCATTAAAATAAGCGCTCAATTCAGCATTTGAAAAACTTGAATTTGAGCCAAATTTTAATGAAAAAAAATTGATTAAAACCAAATGATTAAGAAAAATGTCTGGATGCCTGGATTATGATAATTTATCATAATTAAATTAAATCGATTTTAAATAAATTCAAAATTATACAGCCATCAGGTCTATTGGATATTTGTATATTATATTGTTCGTAGGCTCACTCATTGCCAAAATTGTATAAAAATATTGACTCGGTATACATAATGCATATGTATAATAGTGTGTATAGACGTATAGTATAATTTATTTTTATCCGCACGTTTGGCTTATTAAGTAAAATGCTTGGTAAAATAATTTTTCTATTATTGTAGGTACATGATTTATTCTATGTATAGGTGGATATTTTGCATTAGATAAGATAACATCTAAGTCCGTGACAAATTAAAATTTAAAAGTCCATATATCGCTTCGTTTAAAAATGAAAACATCGACTACAAGGCATAATCCTACGCTTTTGCACAGATAATGTTCTTACTTAAAAGTTTGATAATAGGTGTGTCATTCACTCTAATAACAAAAGTAACATCACACTATTGATACTGATAAACAAATATCAATGCACGTTTTTCCAATCCATCAAATATAACGTATGCATCAGCGAAAGAATCTTTTCGGTTACATTTTGTGATCTTTGTCATAACTCATAATTATTAATCATACCCGAAAAATATATTTTATGAGACGGCGTTCTGCATATGCAATTTTCACACATGATGAAATAATGAATACGTTTACATTTTTATACTCATGATAAAGGTAATTGATTCTTGTTTATAAATTATAAAAAACACATGGTAATTCAATACACCTTATATTTTAAATAGATAATTAATCAAAAGTCAAATAACAGTTGAAACGCTAAAGAAATTCGTAATTCAAGGGCTATTTTGTTTCATCTTTTATTCAATTTTTCTCTGACACTAAAAATGTCTTTAAAATGTTCATCCTTTTGTACACATTTATGACATTTATTGAGACACTATAATTAGAAATAGGGGGAATATATTTTTGTACAAAATATTTATAAGTTTAGGCATAATATATATTCGAATAAATATGACGTATCTGCTTATATTTTAATACATATAGTTTTTAGTGGAAAACTAGATCTATAGTTTAATTGAAAACCTAAGTTAAAAAAAACCCTACGTTTTTAAAGATAATGAACAGGAAAAAACAGAAAAAAACGGAAAATATATAGAAGCTTTTTTTTACCTTCTCTACTAAAAATTAGATTTCACTATACAATTATTTATCATTAAATTTAAATTTAACACATCCGTAATTCGTTACAGTGACCTATTTAAGGTAGCAAAACCAGTTCTCCGGTTATTGCTTTATAAAATGTTGTGTTTAACAATGCTTCATTGTTTCTTTTAACACTTTGTTTTGTCTCCTGCAATGGGGGGGGGTGTTCTAAATTAGACATCTAGTGTAGGTAGCCTTTAAGTGTTTGTACTCAATACTGTGCTTGAATTATGCGCGGTGTAACCGAATTGGTTCTGAAACTTCTGAATAAGTTCCCGAGTTGTTACAAACTGTATACCTATCCGAATTGGTTCCCAGGTAAAATTTTCCTTCCCATTTTATACAGACTAAGGACTGTCTCAATCAGTGGAATATTTTCAAATTTTTTTGTAGTAGGTTAGTTAAGTGGTAGAAATAATAAGTAAATTTTGTTTGGTTTTAATTATAATTATTAATTAGCTTCTGTTTATAATTATAGCTCAATAAGTAAGTAGTAAGTTTATAATAATATAAGCAATACGAGTAATGAATTAAGTAATATGAGTTATGAATTATTTATGGTTAAATTATTCCATAATTTCAAATCTATTTTATTCGTAATGTCTAAAGAGTGTATTAAAAAATGTTGGAAATAAAATATTGTAAAACTAATTAAATCTGTATGTTTTTTTTATTAGTGAATAATTTGATACATTTAAAAACAAATCCAAAATATTATATTTGAATTTAATAACATTAAATTACAAAATGAACAAATAGTAGCTAAAAATAAATGTCTGTCAGATGAAGTTTACATGTTAAAATCTAAAGTCGACGACATTGAACAACATAACCTCGGAATCTCAATTGAGATAAAACAGGTACCTATTCCGAAAACCTAAAAAAAAACTGTATTGCGATTGTTGAGGAAATTGCTAAAAAAACCAACTCGGAGATAAGTGTATTAGAAGCTTATATAATTAATTATTTTGATTCTAAATAAAGTTCAATTTTGGTTAGATTGTCAACACTGGATATCCATAAGACTTTTTTATTCGAAATGTCAAATTAACTAAATTAACAACGGACAGGATATAGGTACACAAATTGGCCAAAATAAAACATATATTTGTCAAACAAAATGTAAAAGAATACTTTTTTCACAAACACGATTTGCCGCGGCCGGTAACAAAAAACAATACAAATTCGTTTGGATATCAAATTCCTATGTTTTCGTAAGAAAAAATGAAGATTTTATAATTGTATTGATTATTAAGTTAGTATCTGTACTAACCTAATACCTAACCTTTAAACATTAAATTCTTTAGGTACTTTCAATAAAAGAGATTGTGTCTTTATTAGAGATTCTTTAAATATAATACAAATCGAAAAACCAGTATTATTAAATTGTAATTCTATATTCATCCTATACTTAAAATGGACGTCCTAATATTTTCACTGATTTGCATATATAGATCATAAAACGATGATATTGATAATTTTTAGAAGGTTTAGATTTTTTTTTTATCACAAATTAAAAAAAAATGTTCAGTATTTTTTTGCGGTGACAATAATATTAATATAATGGAAAATTCAAATAATTGCAATGATTATTTAAATGTAATGGCTAAAAATGGTGTTTTACCATGCAATCATATTTTTACTAGAGAGCCAAATCTTTCTAAAACATGCATCAACCATATTTTCACTAACAATGTTGAATCCAATAAAATAATTTCTCATATATTGAGATCTGGTATAATTGATAATTTTGCAACAATATTGATGTTATCCAATTTATATATAGGTACACGGTACACTATGAAAATCCTAAAAAAAAATATAGAAAATGATGTAATGAAACAGCTCACTCGGATTTATAAATAAAAATAGAAAATTTGGCATTCATGTTTTAAGTGAAAGAACTCAAAGAGTTAAAATAGATGATACCCTTAATGAATCACTTAATATAATTTGTGATGGTACACAAGGCATAGTACTAGGTCCTCTTTTCTTAAAATATTACTAGTATTGAATTATTCAGTTTCAATGATGACACTACTATATTAGTAACTGAAAAATCAACTGATAACTTATTTATTGAGTCAAATATAGTTCTAAATAATGTGTATTCTTCATTCTGTAAAAATAAATTAAAATTGAATCCATCTAAATCTAAATTTATTCTTTTCAAAATAAATTCATCAAATGTTCTTATAAATTATAATTTAACTGTCCATTCTTTGAAATGTGTATCCAATTTTAATTCTTTATGTCTTTCAAATTGTATTAATATTGAACAACCCACTAACTGGGTCCAAATTGTGCAACATTTATTTATTTGTAAAAATTGAATTGAAACTTACTAACTTAAATGTTATAATACCTACTTTTTATAAAATTGTAATCACCTATGTTTATTATTATTATTGATTTTGTATACTGGGTATGTTGGCATCCCGTGATGTGGTGGGGCGAGCTTACTTAAATAAGGTCATGATATATATAGAACAATTTCAAATTTTTCCTTGATGTATCATCTTTTTCCAACCAGAATCTGATTACCACTCTGGGCCTGGTGGTTCACCAAGCATGCTCATCCTTTTTTCTTTCAATAGTGCGGTTGTTTGAGATACGATTTTTGAAATTTTTAAATATACTCAAAGACCATATTATCTTCAAATTTGTAATTAATGTAAAATAATTTTTGAGGATAATTTTTTGAAAATATTGACATAATTAATTCATAATACAGTGTAGTTTTTTATTAATTAAAATTTTCATATTAATGATAATAGTACTTACAAATGGTATTACGAAAATATGAAGTATGATATGTAACATTGGATCTAGTAAATTGTATTATATTTTATATTATATTATTTTTAATGGATATCAAATCAATAGACAAAAGCTTACAATTGAATAAATTTAACAAGTAGTACAGTTTATAGTTAACAAATATATACTCATCATTAAATTATTAAGAAAAAAGTTTTAATTAACACAGTTTAAGAAAATATCTAAATCTTAATTGTTTGTACAATACAAGGTGCACATCTGTTGTGGACATCCACCGCTCTCAGAGCAAAATGGTAAGTATGCCCTAAGTCAAACAATGTTAGTTCACGAGTCATAGGCAACGAACCTGCAACAATACTGATATTTTTTTTCCACATTGAGATGTCTGGAGGGGCATCTGTTTCTTGACATACAAACAGTTCATACTTTTTGATCTCTGCTATCTGAGAAGTTAAATTCAAGTCCCAAGTTATTGTAATCTTATTTCCTGAAGTTTTGATTGTCATAGTAGGTATTGGTGGTACCTTTTTCCAAGACGGTCGATTATTATATGGTGGTATAAAGGGATAAGGTGGTGGATACTTTAAATTAGAAGGCTTGATGAGAGAATTATACTTGAATTTTCTACAAACTTTTAATTTCTTTACTGAATTACAATTTAACAATTTTTTTGTCCTCCTTTTTTTGTTATTGATAACTTCACACTCATTTAAACGCATTTTTTTTTTAATAATTTCCTTATTTTTAGCTATAAAAGGTATCGCATTATCAACAAACTTTGATTTCAGCCCACGTTTCGGTTTTTGTATAGTTGTGGATGAACATTCTCCATTGCTTAAAGTTTGACTGGCTTCAGTTTTCATTTTCAGTACACGATCAATATCATTGATTTTGATTTCTGGTATAGAATCATTTTCGCTAGGCTCATCTTCACTATCTGATATGGTAAATACTTGACATTCCGTAAAAGAATCCTTATGATTGTTGGCCCTAAAAAATAGTTACGTTAATTACTATTTAGTAACTATAATATTATATATTGATTTATGGACACATTAAACAATTTGTTAATACATATAATAAACCTAATTAACAAGTGAAGTTACAGTTAAGTCCATAATGACTTATATCAATATTAGAAATTGAATTATTCATTATTTTTATTAAATTTAAACTAATTTTAAACTAATTTTAAACTAAATTTTAAAAATAGAAAAAGTAAGTAACTGTGCTGTTGTATCATGCATACTTAGAAAAGTTATTAATATCAAAAATATTAGCTAGGTTAAGTAAACATATATGTAACAATATTTAGTATTAAGTCATAGTCAGTTAGTTTTAGCAGATGTAGAAAAATAAAAACTAGGTTACGCAATAATATATAATTCATAGTATAAAACAAACGGGGTCAGTATTGGTGATACTGTGATTCAATTACCACCAGACACCAGTGTTTATTATATGTGCTTATAATATTATTTGTTTGTTCTATTGAAAATCATATATATACTACAGTTAATTTTCCGATTTTATTTCTCACTATCATATATACACTGTAAATGTCGAGATATAATAGTTTATACTAAGAAGCTCTAAAAAAAAAAAACTATATTACTGTTACTAAACAGAAGTTGAATGAATTATTAGTAAAAACTAAAAACCTTGCATTTGAAAATGTCATTGTAAGAATAAAATATAATAATTAATGTTAAAAGTTTCAAGTACCCACAAATACAATTTTCAAATGACAACAAAATAACTCTAATTGTAATTGTTTGTTCGAATACCTAACTTCATCTAATTTTGACACTCTTAAAATGCCCATTTAAAAAATATGATTTTAAGATGCTTTGGTTATAATATGAATTACTTATGGGATATCTTTCAAATACTGATAAAAAAAATTATGAGACTATACATCTTAAATATTTTAAAATATTTATAACAACAACTTATAAAGGAACTTATTACTAAATTTAAACTTTTATAAACATAAATATCGATCAAATAGAGTAATTTATATTGCCATTAAACTTTTTTTTTAATTCCAACAATAACAAATTATGAAGAACTTTGGATTACATTTTCAAACCTTAGAAATTAATGTAAAGAATTTACAAAATTGTTGTCTTCATTTTAACATTAAACTTATAAAAAAAAATATGACTGGTTTATGGTACTTTTTAATTAGTAAGTACATAACTGACAAGGATTTTCTCATTTTCAAACTTTTTGATATAACAAAAAATAGTATTGATATTAACAGAAAAAAAACCAAATAATGTCTATAAACAAGACACAGACACTACAATTTAATCATGTAAAGCAAACCTTTTAAACATTTTTAAATTTATACCAAAAAAACAAAAATGATTATATTAATCCAACCGATTTGGTCCAACAGGTTTTCTATAAAAAAGTTCTTTTCAATTATTTAGGAAACTTGGAATAATTAGTTTTGACCCGACAAAGTACCAACTAGATCCACCAACTAGAGAATTATGTATCAATTTTCTAGGAACTTCTAATTCCTTTACAGAATTATAATTTAACAATTTTTTTGTATTTGATTTTCTGTTATTGAAAACATCACACTCATTTAAACACATTTTTTTTTTTATTCATTTAATTATTTTTAGCCCTAAAAGGTATTGCATTATCAACAAACTTTGACTTCAGCCCACGTTTTGGTTTTTGTATAGTTGTGGATGAACATTCTCCATTACTTAAAGTTTGACTGGCTTCAGTTTTCATTTTCAGTACACGATCAATATCATTGATTTTGATTTCTGGTATAGAATCATTTTCGCTAGGCTCATCTTCACTATCTGATATGGTAAATACTTGACATTCCGTAAAAGAATCCTTATGATTGTTGGCCCTAAAAAATAGTTACGTTAATTACTATTTAGTAACTATAATATTATATATTGATTTATGGACACATTAAACAATTTGTTAATACATATAATAAACCTAATTAACAAGTGAAGTTACAGTTAAGTCCATAATGACTTATATCAATATTAGAAATTGAATTATTCATTATTTTTATTAAATTTAAACTAATTTTAAACTAATTTTAAACTAAATTTTAAAAATAGAAAAAGTAAGTAACTGTGCTGTTGTATCATGCATACTTAGAAAAGTTATTAATATCAAAAATATTAGCTAGGTTAAGTAAACATATATGTAACAATATTTAGTATTAAGTCATAGTCAGTTAGTTTTAGCAGATGTAGAAAAATAAAAACTAGGTTACGCGATAATATATAAGTTACAGTACAAAACAAAAGGGGTCAGTAGTTGTGATCCTGTGATTCAATTACCACCAGACACCAGTGTTTATTATATGTGCTTATAATTGCTTATAATATTATTTGTTTGTTCTATTGTAAAACATATATATACTACAGTAAATTTTCTGATTTTATTTCTCTCTATCATATTATACACACTGTAAATGTCGAGTTATAATAGTTTATACTAAGAAGCTCTAAAAAAAAAAAAACTTTAATACTATTACTAAACAGATGTTGAATGAATTATTAGCAAAAACCTTGCATTTGAAAATGTCATCGTAAGAATAAAATATAATAATTAATGTTAAAAGTTTCAAGTATTCACAAATACAATTTTCAAATGACAACATAATAACTCAAATTGTAATTGTTTGTTTGAATACCTAACTTCGTCAAATTTTGAAACTCTTAAAATGTCCATTAAAATAGTTCTTACATGGTTATAATATGAACTACTTATGAGATATATTCCAAATACTGATAAAAAAAAATAATGAGATTATACATCTTAAATATTTTTAAATAGGTATAACAACAACTTATAAAGGAACTTATTACTAAATTTAAACTTTTATATACAAAAATATCGATCAAAAAGAGTAATTTATGTTATCATTGAACTTTTTTTTTTTAATTCAACCAAAAATAAATTATGAGGAACCTTGGATTAAATTTTTAAACCTTAGAAATTAAAGTTAAGGATTTGCAAAATTGTTGTCTTTATTTTAACTTTAAGCTTATAAAAAATATTGTGATTGGTTTATGGTACTTTTTAATTGGTAAATGCACAACTCACAAGGAATTTCTTATTCGATTTTCAAGCTTTTTGGGATAACAAAAAATAGAATTGACATTAACAGAAAATACCAAAAAAAGTTTTAAACAAGAGACTACAATTTATCATATAAAGAAGACCTTATGAACATTTTTAAATTTATACAAAAAAAAAAACAAAATTGATTATGTTAATCCAACCGGTTTTGTCTAACAGGTTTTCCATAAAAAAGTTCTTTTCAATTATTTAGGAAACTTGGAATTATTAGTTTTGACCCGACAAAGTACTAACTAGATCCAATTTGCTACAAGCACTACAACCCAATGCGTAAAAATGTGTAAAAACACACACATCATTGTAAAATCAATACATTAATCACTACAAATTTAATTTGGTCTAAGATTAATTAACACTTAATTACTTTTAATATATATATCTTACATTTCAATTTTTTTTGATAAAAAAATACATGTACCAACTGAACGACTTATGCATTTGACTGGTTGAGCAAACTTATCTTTTTCTAAATCTTTTTTCAAGCGATGTATAATATGCTCAAGTGCTTTGGCTTGGGTTTCTAAAGCTTCGTATTTCGTTTTCCAAGACTGATTATTGACCAACTCGTTTGGGTCAATATCAATAAAATCCTTCTTTTGTTTCAATATATAGTTAGTGACTTCATGTTCTAATATATTATTAAAGTTTGATAGTGGAAGTTTAACTACACCGTCATTTAATTCAATAGATATTTGAGGTTCTTGTTCCATGTCGACTGGCTCTGATTCATTGTTATTCATTTTGTTTTTACTATAAATTAAAAATATAATACTAAATTAGCCAATTAGAATACAATTAATATAGAAAACAAAATATAGGTAATATGCAGCATGATAATTAATATTACCTAGATAATGTTAACAGGGAATATGTATCTATTTTGTATTCCTGTGATAAAATGTAACCGAACCACACACCAGTACCTAAGCAGAATATATAGTACAAATATTTGTACCATATTTATGTTTTTACTTGTGTAGAAATTTAGGGATTTAGTTCTCAGAAATATTTTGTAAATTAAATTACTCCACTGTTGGCACACTATTACACTAAATCGATTTGATCGGGTACAAACATATTGAGTTTAAATAGTATATATCATATTATATTAGTAACAATAGTCATTTCCATAAGATTACAGGTAGGTTGACCATATTGCAATTTAATGAAAACTGTGTCAAACAGAAAAAACTTATTATAGGTTAGATCTGATATAAATGTTTGCAAGGTATATAGGTAGTTTCATCAACCATTGATGGGATAAAAACCTAATAGTACCCAAGTGCAGTGGAATGATGAACCTCGTTTTTTGATTCCAAGGAGGATATTTTTTTGATGGGTGGGGTGGTTGGATACATTATGGTAACCCATGACATAAAACAAAAATTAAATTGTTTATTTAATAATTATATATATTATATTAAGGGGATAAAGAGTGGGTACCAACTGAAATATATGCTGTACATCATGGTTTATAGATGTTCACTATGCCACTATCTAAGTATAAGGATTTAACTACATTTTGCATAGCAAAACAATATACCTAAATCTAGACAATTATAAATATTATATTATTTATTTACCTCAATGATTGTTTGGGTATATGAAGATAATTGAAATCACTGGCTGATATAAATGCACCGCTGAATGAGCAATACAGATTGGTACTAACAAACTACCTAATTCTTAGAGACGATTTTGACCACCACAGTATAATAAGAAATCATCAATAATATTATCATCGATGCCTTGAACTACCGTAGAAATAGCAAATTAGTAAATGCATACGAGTTGAACTACAACAGTTAAAATTTAAAATATTAGAGGTTCTTAAATCAAAGGCTGGATGCAGTTGTCTGAAAAGCGATAAGGGTGCTTATACGACATTTTATACCATTGATGATCCAGCAGTGACGCCAACGTGAAAAAAACATCGTACATTCTTTACAGTGATGCCCGCGTGGCCATTCACTCACTGTGCTGCGCCCGGACGAAAAAAAGTAAACCATAAGTTATAACTAACGAGTTGTGATGTCACTCTGCTAGAGATCACTGTTATTTACTCAGGTTGCGAAACGAGGTGTGATAACGCGCTGTGTATAAGTAAACTATATCTAGGGTTACCATACGTCCGGATTTCGTCCGGACAGTCTGGATTTCAAACACCTGTCCGCATTGGCGTCCGGATTTTACAAAGGTAATCGTTTAACGTGGTTATATTGATATAAAAAGTTATGTCAGGTGGCAGATTTTTGGGTTCACTCTGTATAAATTAATAATATCTAATTTCTATTTTTATACATGTTTTTTCCCGAAACGTCACGATAAGCGACTACCCATTATTATCGTTGTTGCCATAAAATAAAAGATTGAAGTATTATCAAATGTTGTCCTACTAAATTGTTAGTTATATAATATTATTATATTGTTTTAATTTGTTCACATGTAATGCGTACTGGAAAACAACTCGTATAATTCACTCGACAGTTTCTTTTCTGTTTATGAGTGAATAGGTGGTTGTCATTTGTTTTTATTATAGTTGTGTTTTGCTTGAAATATTAAAATATTATAGTATTGTTGATTTTTGGTACTACGTCTTCACAAAATGCCTAAACGCAAATGTGTTTTTACTAACTAAAAGAAGAATATAAGTTTCTAAAACAGTGTCAAAATAGTAATGACTGCGTAAGATGTTCGATATGCAATTTCAAATTTTGTGTGGAGCATCGAGGACGCCAGGACGGTATGATATTGAAAATCACATACAAAGTGCCAGACACAAAAAGGCTAATCAAGCAGTATCCAAGGCAAGTATTAAATCTTTTTTTAAGCACATTGATGCCACAAATGACGAATTACAGAGTGCGGCCAAAGAAGCAACTTTTGCTTACCACACTGCAATACACGGATTAACTTTTAGAATGTCAGACTGTACTGCCAAACTTATTAAAAAGTTTTTAAGCCTAAATATTCAGGAGCTAGGACTAAAACGGAAGCAATTATTGTAAATGTTATATCTCCTTACATATTTAATGAATTACCTAAAGATCTCAGGGACGTAAATTTTGTTACATTAACTATTGACAGTTCTAACAGAAAAGAAACTAAACTGACTCCTATATACATTCGTTATTTTAATCAAAATGAAGGAATTAAAGTTAAACTTTTATATTTTGATCAACTTCCGGGTGAAACCTCTGATCTTTTGGTAGAACATCTTTTAAAATGTATTAAAAAGTATTCTATGATTCAAAAGTTGCTTGTCTTTGTGCTGATAACACTAATACTAACTTCGGTGGTGTAAAAAAAAAGGCCAAGGAAATGTTTTTCGAAAACTGCAAAAATCTTTGTCTCGTCCTATTCTTGGAATTGGTTGTGCGGCCATATTTTGCACAACACTGTCCAGACAGCGTGCGATGCTCTGTATATTGACGTTGAGGTAATAGTAGTAAAAGTCTATACATTTTTTTTTCAATATTCTGTCAGAGTGACTGTGCTAAAAGAATTTTGCGAATTTGCAAATATAGAGTATAAATGAATCCTTTCACATAGAAATACGAGATTTTTGAGCTTATTACCTGCCATAGAACGAATACTGTTATTGTTTGACGCCTTAAAGTCGTATTTCATGACTATTGAAAAACTGTCCTGCTGTGTTACTTGCATTTTTTGAAGACCCAGTATCTGAACTTTTTTTAAAGTTTGTGCATGGAACTGTTCAAATGTTAGCAGCTAAGCACCTACTTGCTAAACTAAAAGATGATAATACAATTGATGCTGATAAGGAAAAGCATTTTCGTAAAAATATAGAAGGTTTTTATCAAGCAGGGATAAATTATTTAAAACTTTGGGAAAATAGCTTTGACTAAGCTAACAAATTCAAATGGTTAACGCTACAAAATGATCCTACTTGGGAAGAGATTGAGGCTAGTGCAATAATTGTTGTCAGTATTATACCAAATTCTATCAATGTGGATCAATTATTTGATGAAGGGTCGTCTCTAGTCCAAGTACTAAGACATCTGAAACCTAACTGGGCTTCATAACTAAAAGAATTCACACCAAAAATACATGAAAAATGGACGAAAATATTTTATTCAATTTTTAGAAGCAACGTTTCCTTTTTGAATATTTTTAAAATAATAGAATTTGCCATGTGTCTGCCCGGCACTTCAGCTCCCGCCTAGCGTATTTTTTCAATGATGGGGTCTATTCGGAGTGCTGAAAGAGGAAGATTGTCATTTGTCAATAACAGTTCTAAATTCAAATTTTGATTTGTCATGTTCACAATTTCACGATAAAATTAAAATTGACAAATGTTTTCTGAAGAAAATTAACGCATGTGAAAAATATGATAAGAAAAAAGACGATGAAGAATACTGCGAATCAGGACCCAGCATGAACTAAATAATGAACTAATAAAAATTATTATGTAACACATTTTATAACATATTTAACCTAATTTATAGATCTAAATAAAATTGTATTAATGAAAGAACAATTTTTTTTATTTTTAATTTTACCCCGTAATGTGTCCCACGGTTAGGTAGTTTATATTTATTTGTATTTGACTAGTACACGGCTCTCGTAATGGTAAGAAAGAAGTCGACGTACTACGCGCCTGCTCGCGCGTGCTAAGGTAAAGAGCACTTCTGTTATATCGCAAATTCGAGCTATACGTGCTTTGTCATTACGGGTAAAGGCGGATCCAGATTTAGCTTCGGAGTTTTCGCTATATACGCGGCGGATTTAGATGCGCTATGGTTCCAGTTTAGGACGGAGGACGATTTTGTACTAGATCGATTATCGGCGTCCGATAAGCTAGCCGACTATAATTCACCCGACCTGATAGCGGAGGTACGCCAGCTAATTAATGCGGCTAAAGTTATTGCTCAGTGGTTAATCCCTACAGGTGCTGACTCCATAGATTTATCATATATCCGAGATAGTAAGACATCGACTACCGAGCGCTCAAAAACCGCCCGAGGATCCGGTTAAGTCATTCTCCCGTTTACCCGATACACCTCTATCCACGTTCAAGGGCGATTATCGATCTTGGCCTAATTTCCGCGTCAGATTTTCTGCGCTCGTTGATACGCGACAAAATTTATCGAACATCGATAAGATGTATTATTTAATAGGGTGACACGGCCGACGCTGTCCGAGGCATACCGGTGTCGGCGGACAATTACGAGTTAGTAAGGAACACGTTATCCGACAAGTTTAATCGACCGCGATTAGTCGCAACGTCACTCGTCGACAAGCTACTACAGTCGCCGGCCATGACACAAGAGTCGCTAACCGACTTGAACACATTCGTAGGAATGTTCAGTGAATCAATTTCATTATTAGACGCGCTTACCAGGCGCTGGGTCTTTTATTTTATTCTCAATAGCGTTCCGATGTCTACCTATTTCTACTCGCAAATTATTTGAGACGAGTAGTACTGTGGATTACCCGTCGATAGGACAATTATTACATTTTGTCCGATCTCGAGTGGCCATTCTGGAAGTCGTGGGCGAATCCCATAAAGGTAGTGCCAATAATGCGCCGCCGTCTAAGTCGACGGGCAAATCGACCGGTCAGTTCCGAAAGGGGGGAGATTACGCGGGGAAGCCTCGGTTAACGTCTTTGGTCACAGCCAAAGCAAGTATTACGTGCACGTGTCTTGCGGGTTCGCACGCATTAACATCGTGTTCGCGTTTAAAAAATTGGAGTCCCGACGAGCGCGCTCGATGCACGCGAGACAAAAAATTATATGCTTCAATTGTTTTGGTGACGAGCATTGGGCTCCGATGTGTCAGTCTAAATCTAGTTGTCAGAACTGTACGCGTAATCACCACTCGCTTCTTCATCATCTGTCGTCCAGTAGAGATCGCGATGTCCAAAACGAGGCACCGGTCGCCGCAGCGTCGTTATGCGCGTCCGTACCACGTCCCCTTCCACATCAGGCGTCGTCTATAATTTTAGGTACCGCGCTAGTGCGTATGCGCGATCGTTCCGGATCGTGGCAAACAATGCGCGCATTAATAGATTGCGCGTCGCAGATAAGCGCCGTTACGAGCTCGTGTGCCGATCGGTTAGGTCTCAAGCGTTCCCGTTGGACAGCCCCGATTAGCGGATTATCCGGGGTCTCCGTCGTAAATGTCCAAGGCCGCGTTGAGTGTAACGTACAGCCGCGGTTTGCGTCCGAACCTGTACTTCCCATAAATGCGTGGGTGTTACCCACCATAACGAGTGACCTGCCCCGAACAACGTTACTCTCGGGCATTAAAGATAGGTAATCTAATCTCGCTTTGGCTGGGTCGTCTTTCGATATCACTTCACCTGTTGATGTATTATTAGGCAGCGACGCGTATACACGTCAATAATGGACGGTCGCAAAATTTCAGTGGATATAGCTCTGCCTGCGGCGTTCAGTTCGGTCTTCGGTTGGATTCTAATTGGTCCTGTGTCCGACCGAGAGGCTCACCCGTATCAATCGGTGTCGGTCGCTATGACTGTTTCCATTGGAGGATTATTGGAACGGTTTTGACAGGTCGAGGAGCCGGAGGCTGCGCCCTCGACGTTTACGGAGGAGGGAAGTTGTGAAAAATTATTTTGTGAACAGTCCATGCGCTTACCGTGCGGTCGTTTTTCGGTACCGTTGCCGTTTCGCGCGCCACCGTCAGCTGACACTTTTGCCGGTTTCCGCGAAGTCGCGGTGCGACGATTTGACGCACTCGAACGTAAATTGGCTACGAGAACTATATTACAAACATTATATGTCCAGTTCATGTCGGAATACATCTCGCTAGGTCATATGTCCGTCGGGACGTCCGCGGGACGTTATTTTATCCCGCATCACGCTGTGTATCGTCCGGCGATCGACGAACGAAAAATACGTGTCGTGTTCGACGCTTAAGCGCAAAGTAGCCGCGGCCCGTCATTAAACAACCGTTTGTTTACCGGTCCTAAATTACAACAGGACATAGTCGACATTTTGACTAGATTTCGGGTCCCCAAGTACGTGTTTACGACCGACATCTGCAAAATGTATAGACAAATATTAGTTTTGAAGGAATATCGTCAATTCCAACATATTTTATGGCGACCGTCGCCACACGACGAACTTGTAGAATACGAGTTCAATACCGTTACGTACGGCGTTAGTTGCGCGCCTTATCTCGCCCTACGCGTGTTACAAACTATTGCGTCCGATGATTGCGATAATTTCGAGTTTGTGCGTAACGCGTTGACGCGTCAAACCTATAATAACTCCAGTTATAAAAGACGATGACGATATGTTATACCTGAAGTCACTTCATCCATATTTTCGCACAATGAATCCATTACAAAAACTACGCATAAGAAACCAACTCCAGACTATATTTATTAATGAATTATCCACCCAAGTATAACAGCCACAAGAACTATATGCTTCATCTGCCTCATGCAATAATATGTATTCCACTCAAAATGTAATGCATTATCGAAATACAAGTATCCAACAGCAAATCAACCCAACTGATATCGATAATGAAAAATACGAAGATATACCGGTTCCCAATTTTAATTTTTAATCAATGCTTTATAAAACTTGGAAATTTAAGTATATATTAATAAATAATAAATAAAAATTTTATTATTTGTTGTTTGAACAATTTCTTATCATTTTTTAATTTTATAATTAAAGTTTTAACTAATTACTTTTATTATTATGTACTAACGTCTTGCTTATGAATATTTTAAAATTTTTAGTTTATTTAGTTTCATAAATTACCTACTTAATACTATTATTATTATAAAAAAGATAATATTTTTAATTTTATATCCGATTTAATATTATATATTAATTGTTTTATTAATAATTATTCTGTTATTAAAAACCAAAGAAGGTTATTTAGCATTTTATTTTTTTTTTGTTATTCTATTTTATGTTAAAGAATGATTTGTAAATTCTATACATGTATCATATTTATTATATTATGATTTCTTTTAATTTGTATTTTTCTTATTAAGTTTACCTATAATTAAGTAAAAACTTACCTTATTGTCACAAGCAGTCTTTCTTCTATTGAAATAGGTTCTTGAAAATTTGTGGTTTGAAGGTCAAATTCTGGTGTAATTATTTCTAAAATATAATCAAAAGTTTCTGATTGCATTCTTGTATATGCTCGAAACAAAGCATTGTCTCAACGTAATTGAGGGTACAAATGATAAAATTCACCAAAAGTGAATCGATCATCGTAAATACATTTATTTGCCATTGATCGTTTATTTTTTTTATACTTTTTGTACATCAAGTATTTAAGTAGACTACTTTCACTTAATAATATTTTTTTTTGTAGACTTAAATTCATAGTAAGTACCTAAGTATCAATACAAAAATATCTAATGCTAAAAAGTTTATATTAAAAGTTTAAATAATACTATAGTAGGCAAGTTATATCGCAATAACGCATCGCCGTGTACTGCGATGTCGGACTCACATTTGCCATGAGTGCGGCGTTCGAAAAACGTCCGATGCGTGCGATGCGAATTCGTTCGCATCGGACGCACTCGCCGCACTCGCCGGATTCACGTAGGACACGGCGTAATATGTCGACGACATTTGCGACGGGGCGGATGCAATTTCGAATGTATTAAAATTGCAGTCCGATTTAATCTCTGTTATGAACAAAGCGGGATTAGAACTGAAAAAGTGGGCGTCAAATACGCCGTGCGTTTTAGACGCGGTGCCAGCCGCAGATCGCGTGTGTGCAGCACCTATGCCCTTCGAATCTGTCGACGGCTACGGTACTATGAGGTAGGTGCCCGGCTTACAGTGGCATCCCGAAGCGGACTACTTTTGTTGAGGGTTAAGTCTCGATTCGGAACCCGCGTGCACTAAACGTGGCATTCTATCCTTAGTAGCGCGTATATTCGATCCGCTATAGGTGCAGTGTTCGCTCTCGCGGTGTTTTTAGCTAAGTGTATAATGCAGCTGGACCTGGGATGAGCCTTTACCGAACGATATTCACGACGAATGGATCGCGTTCGTCTCCGACTTATCGTCGTTGTTAAATGTTCGGGTTCCGCGTTGTTTGAACTCGAGTCACGGAGCGCCGTGCTATTTACTAGGATTTTGTGACGCCTCGCAACTCGGCTACGCGGTGGTCCTGTTGTATATGTGCGCATGGCCGACGTCGATGTTAACGCTTCCGAATTTCTAATTGGTACGAAAACTAAATTAGCGCCGATGAAATCATTAACCATTCCCCGGCTAGAATTAAACGCCTCGTTGTTATTGGCTCGATGGTTGAGTCGCGTCCGTGATGACATTTTGGCCCCGCAACTTAATATTGTCGGCATAAATGCTTGGTCGGATTCCACGGTAGTGGAAATCAAGCCCGCCTCGACAGGCCCGCATGACCTCGAGTGTTTGGCTCATAGTCATTTTTTAATAGGTCAGCCGCTCCTCGCCGTTCCGCCTAGATCGGGTCCAGAGTCCGCCAGTTGTCTGGCCGACCGGTGGAAGTTAATGGACCAGTGCCATCAGTCTTTTTGGCGCCGTTGGTCCTCTGAATATTTAACCACATTACAGGAGAGGTCCGAGTGGACTACGGGAGTCGCCAATGTCAAACTAGACGATATGGTCGTGGTAGCAGACAATCAAAATCTGCCGCTAATGTGGCCACTCGGCCGTATAGTAGAGTTGTTTCCTGGTGCTGACGGTCATGTCCGTGTATTAACGCGCGCAGGAAGCGTCGTCCGACCAGTGGTCAAGCTCGTTCCGTTACCCGCCAAGTAACTCCCAGTCTGTCACAGTAGGCAGTGGCGTGCCCAAGGGGGGGGGGGGGGGGATACCCNGGGGGGTTTTCCCCCCCCCCCCCATTGACTTTTTTTGTTGACTTCAACTTATTTAATTATTTTATATTAATTTAAATGAACTTTTACCAAAACATTTATAACATATATCCCCCCCCCCATTGAAATTTCCTGGGCACGCCACTGACAGTATTTACCAGCTGGGACCACTGTGCGTACCACGCGTGCGGAAATCCTTAGCGTATCGCTCCAACCCATCCGTTTTCTTTTTAAATTTTTTTATATACCAGGCGCGCTTGCCAAAGGTGTTTCCAAACGCTTAGTGTTGGGTTTGGGTGCTCCATAAGTTGGAATATGTATATACATATTATACTATTAATTATTTTATATTTTGTTCCCGTTGAACCATATGTTCCTGTATTTTTTTTGTAATATTTATATTGTATTATTTTACCTATTTGTTGTATTTAAATAAATGTAGGCCGCTGACTCGACAAGTATGTAAAAAAAATTTTTTGTAACATTTCTCATGCCTGATCAACCACAAAATAGTCCGGACCTTCATCTCTGTCGCTGGAATTCAACCATCATCCGGTTCTATCACAGCTTCGTGTGAAGCACAGCTCACGGGGGGGGGGGGGAGAATGTTCGAACGCGGCTGATTTTCCCACCGAATCGTGTACATCGCCAAAGGCTTTACAAGTCTCCGCGATCGGTGTGGAGTGTCCGCGACAGGTCATCCCCCCTCTACCGGGCTCTACGCAACCTTCGTCTGTCAGCTTGCGTCTGCCTTTTGCCAATGGCCGAACCTGGCGCGTCCAGTTTGCTCGCCCGTTCACCAAGTCTTTTTTCCTTTTGTCGACCGCGTGGTCAACCGACCTTATTTTTGGTCGTTTGTACAATAGTTCATTTTTTTCCTTTGACGTTGTGTACGTGACAATCGTCGCAAGTCCCGAGACAGTTGGGGCTTGACGTGTGCGTCACATTCCGTCATTTAGTATTTATACTCAATTTATTGCGTCATTGCTATTATAATTAAATACGTGCCACCCGTCAAAAGGCGGTCGCCTTACCAGTCCAGACTACAGCGTGGTTTTGCTGAGTAGTTATACTACTAGTAGTTACAAGTTATACCTTTTTTTTGTCATTTATTATTGTTATTATATATTGTATATTGTATGTATTCAGACGAATACGTTTTGATTTGTAATTAAGAGTTATACGGGCCTGCACATTATTATTATTATTGTCATTGTTATATCTATACGCTGTGTTGCGATAAATATATTATGTCTGGCGCCCGGCGTCCGTTTATTGTATTATAATTATTGTATATTCATATTTCACACCGTGAGTAACCTTTACCTTCCAACATCCCGTAAGTCGCGGCCGACAACCGCCGCCCTTGTAGGAGCGGTCGTGGTTCAACAATTATATAGCCATATGGGTATTTAAGGTACTATAGGTAGGTACCAAAAATTGTTTTAAATAATAACTAATACCTATATAAATGTAATTTTTTTAAATTCAAAAATGATTTTTTTTGTTACAATATTGTATTGATCAAACCAAACTTAAATCAATTGTCTTTAAATAAAACTAATTTAGAAATAAAATGTGGGTAAAGTATTTAGGACAGCTCTTAAACGTCCCGTTAATATGTATATTTTTTACATCAGATAAAATATCTAAATTAATTTTTGTTAAAAATCCTACCATTGACTTTTCGAAATCATTAAAAAACATAAGGTTTTTGTCATTATTTGTTGTAATGTTCATACATTTTCATGCATTTTCATTGTCACCGGTACTTCTAGGTAATTTTGGATGAAGCAACGAACTGGATGGTGAATCTTTTGTTCGATTAAAATTTGTCGTGAGAGTTGGAATAAAGAAAATCGAAGTGTTTGAGATGTTTATCAGTGTTATGTTTCGTTTTAGCGACAACAGGCAAGGTCCGTGGTAGTAATGTAGTATTCGTAATATCTCATGTCTATTATTGTCCAGAATTTAAATTGTAACCATAGTGGTATCTTACATGAAACTGTTTTGGTTGTTCATATTTTGAATAGGATTATTGTTTGATATGATATGTTGTATAATTGGTAAAATTGGATTGCTATGTGTATAAGATGATTTGAGTTAAAAGACTTACGAGAATTTCTGTTTTGGACTTAATGGAATTCGGGGTCTGAGTGGTGAGGTGAAGCGATCGTAGATTTGGTTTTATTTTGACCATGTCTTTGGACGAGGCTCCACTAGTCGGCAACGGCATTATTAGATTGTTTTAATTAATGCTGTAATAAAGAGCCAGTCCAATGCTGTTAACTGGCGATAAGACAACTGTTAACAGTGAGAAGTAAGTCGTGACTGATATTAAACAGTTATTTTGAATTTATTTTTAAATTATTAAAACTAATTTTTCAACATTATTTTTAAACTACAAAAATGTTAGTTTATAAAAAAACGATTAAATTAAATTTTTATTGCTAAATGTTGATATAGGTTTGATTGATTTAAGAGAAAGTTGTTGAATCAACTCAATGACCTTATATACATCGGTATAATATTATAATATTAAAACCGTTCTGACCTAGTGTGAATTTAACTGTGTTTTTATCAAAAACGTATGTTAAAAAGAGGGCAACAAGTTCTTAGAGCTAGGTATTTTAACAGTGAGAAATGTTTTAGAAAGTTGAGATTTTTAATTTTTAAATTGTTAGGCAAGGTCGGTTAGGTTAGCAAACTATGCCTAGGTAATTTATTAGCACAACAAACAAGTCAGTAATCACTTAATAGGTGCCAGTATGGCAGTATATATATATGTCACCGGCAATATGAATAATTCAGGTATTTTGAAAAATGCCTTGGCATTATGACGTATACTGCCGACCCATTTTAGGTAATGTAAATAAAACATTTGATTTTCAATATTATTTTAAATCATATAAACTAGGTATTTTATGAAATACCTAGGTGTTATGTAAAATACCAATTTTTTTTAGGCAAAGTAAAAAAACAATTTATCATAATATGTTATAATATTATATTAAGATTCTTATAATTATAATATATTATTACTCATATTACAAAATCTAATTTTTATCTACTATTTTTATACATAGGTATTGCTATATGCCTATATTATTAATATTATTGTTATATTAAGTACTATTATTTATACATTTTACTTACTACTATCTACTTTTTACTACATGTTGTAGAAAAATGGCATTTTGAAGTGCAAAAAAACATTATTTTTAAGGTAAATACACTTTTTATTTTGATACTTGATCATACAAACACATTTTAAAAATCATTGGCTAGTTCCTGTCCGACTGTTCCTTTGCGACTGTTCTTAACGCCACTTTTGTGCCTGTTGGAACATTGTAAATTTGTAGTAGCTTTTTTTGACATACAGTGAACGGACTTTTGGCGTATCACTGCTTCAGAACTTCAGAATTTTGATCTTCATTGCACCAAATCGTGCACACGCGGATATGGTGCGTGCATTCACGATAAACTATAACTCATAAGTAAAGTCGCTGGTAATAGGCGATACCCAATTTTGTTTATTTTTATCATATTTCCTACTACACCTTGGACATTACACATAATACCTAGAGAAAGCTTGTATTATGTATATTTCCGAGTGTTTTTTGGCATTTTATATAATTCCTAGGTATTTTGTAAAATACACGATTCTCCATATTGCCGGTAATATATATACTTGCAGTGCCTAGAGTAGCGCAAATTTCGTAAATATAACTCCAATGAAGTTTTGACATAGGTATACTGAAAAAATAACTTAATTAACAACCTAACCTTACCTTAAATGTTTAATGGTGTTTATACCTAAATACTTATACTTTAATTTGCCCATTTTCAAATACCTAATTAGTTATTGGTCTTAAAAATTTGAGTTAATCAATTAAAATTACCTTTTCATATACCAATTATTGAGCTCTGTTAGTTTCTCGGTTGATAGACCAAAGTAGACCCTCTAGTCTTTACCCCCCGTTTAACACCGATCTGCCAACAGTCCACGTAGATGCCTAGTAACATATAAACTGTAATTTATAATAAACACATAACATTTGTATTTTGTAAAATATGTATTATTTTACAACAAGAAACCAAAATGAAATTTTTTATTTATAATTTTTTGTGTGTTCCGTCTTTGACTGTAGAATTTGGAGTGGCATGTCTAACAGTAGTGTTTACGGTAAGCAATTCTTAACTTTTAATGTATTATTAGTAAGTTTTTTTTAACGTAGCTTCTATCCGAAAACTGTGTGTTATAGTAATTAGTAGGTATTAATTGAACATAATATTGGAATGATGAATGTATCTATAATTTATAATTATGTCTATTCTATTTAGATCTTAATCATTTTTATGAAATACGTACATTTCTATACTCTGTTCACGTTAAGGAAGAATCTGGGTGGAGGGAAGTGATTTTACTACATGGCAGGCGTAGGTGCCTACATAATTTACTGGATAGTGCCGACAAATGGTTGCTGCTTGAGCGCCTGACAGCCGCCCTACAAACTGGGTCACCACCGCGATTTAATTAGATTGATTTAAAAGTATCATTGCACCAACTACATCCTCTTTCTTAAAGTGGTAACGTCATACTTTAATACCATCTTAAATCGTGGTTGTCACTTAGGTTGCTTTGTAAATAAAACATAAGACTCAATCTTTAGGGACGTAGCTATGGACAGGCCAAGGGTGCAATGAAAAAAAAGGTTCAAACTACAGAATAAAATATACCATATATCTATATACATATTACATATATATAGTATTATTAATAATATATATATTTTATAATATTTTGAGTATGCGCAAAAAAGTTTTACTACTATAGTGAGAGACTAAGCTATTTTATTGTGTTTTGTGTGTACCAATATTTCAATCTACAAGTATTTACAAAATAATATGTAGTGATAATATTACGTAATATTAAATATTACTCCGAGTGCCTGAGTGATTAGATGATATTACTGTTAAAAGCGATAGTGTGTTTTTTTATATTTATAGTTGTTTATTATAATTTATAATACTGCTGCTTATACAACCACCTCAGCACGCACGTCGTTTACCAACATTGTAGTTTTAAAAATCGATTATTATTATTACTTATTAGCTGCATATTAAAATTAGGAAAAATAAAATAAAAGTTAAAATTAGGATTCTAAATTTCTAAATGTATTGTATTTTAAGGACTTCCGTCATATTTATAGTTAGGAAGATACCCACTTCTATTTCAATATTTAGTAATTTTTTATAAGACACAATTAATTATTAAATTGTAGTTCATATATTAATATACGTTCAAAGTTGTAACCTAGTTTTTAATACAGAAAAATTATGTATAAGAATGTTAAGTATGTAATGTATAGTAAACCTTCAAGAAGTCGATAATTACCATTTGTTGGTTTTTATCTATCAAATTTGAATTTAAATAGGTAATGTAAAAACATTTAAATAGTTTGTTTACACATAAAAAAAGTCAATTAGTTAATAATTTAAAATTATCTATATCTTATTTGAAGTTAAATAAAAGAAATAATTTTAGTTTAATCATCTAAATAATTATCTTCGCATCAAGAAGCTTTTTTATTTTATTTATTTTAATCCTACAGATTATGTTTAATTATCAAAGGTCAGATATTTATACTACTCACTAAAGTAATTTGAAGACAATTGGCTTGATAGTGATATCGATAAAAAACATCATTGATTCGTTTTAATATTTAAACATAAATTAAATCAGTCTGAGAAATGTTATTTTCGAAAAAATATTTTATTATATTGAAAAAATAAAAATTTATTCCTTTAATTACATTTAAAGAATTTTTAAATTTTTTTGTATTATATTTGGACACCCATGCATTTCTTGTCTCCGTCTTTCACGTGTACGACGTGTCGACATAGCACATTTTCGTTCACTTGTTTTAATAGTGTGTGTAATACACTTTGATATTAGAGTGAAATTCCTAATAATACACTTTTAGTTGATAACATTATTTGCTTAATAGTCGGCTTTTATTCGTTATTTTAATTTTCAAGCCGGATATCGGCATGGAATAAAAATAATTTTACAAAGGTGGAAATATGTTAGGACATATTTTGCTCTGTCAATCTTATGCTTACAACATAAATAATATTATTTCTCGATTCTTTCGACTTACTACGTTTCATCAGCGAAATTCGATTACCAATAGCTGAATAAGTAAATGCGGTCTATATAATCCTATCTTCAACTTCAGTGATTCTTCTGCTAAATATTCTTTATCGCAGAAAATATATGTATCGTAGACAATGTTAGCAAAGACTAAATTTAATTAGAATAATTAATTATTAATTAATAATTTTTTAATTCCATAAGAATTAAGTACATTACACAAATAAATCATGAATTTGCATTTTTTTTAATCAAAATTAAATTATTTATTAACCTAAAATTAATAAACTATTCTAGATTTTAACGTTATCGATATTTGGGGTGAATGCATCCGAGCTATCAAGTATGTTTTCAGGTTGGTATAAATATATTGTTCTCATATCTATACGTCATAAATATTAGTTTTATATGCAGAACTAATTGTAAATTTTTCTATCTCCTTTAGATAAAATCGTAGTGTTTGTAACTATACTCTTGTTGCTACTAACTTGGCTCATAGCTGTCATAGGAGCTTCTATGGTAAGTTATAATATTGTTGTATCATTTGTTTTAACCACAATACGTATGTATAATAAGAAGACTAGAAAAATGAAAAATAATTTAAATTATAACTACAAAATATAATAAAATGTAGATGGACGTCAATTAAATCAGTTCATACGTTTTCGTTAAATTTTATAAATACCTGCAACCTGCACTTCTAATAAAAAAAGTTACTTCGCCAATGAATGAGCAGAATCATCGAATGAACCTTATTCAATTATAACTATTTAATATAAGTATTAAACTAATATAACTATTAGTATATAGTATTAAACTATATAAGTATTAAACTCACTTTTTGAAAATATATGAATAATTAACAACAATTAAAAATATATCAACTGAGGTAATACGGTGCAATTAAGTTTAGATATTACATCTACAAGAATAATAATAATATTTTTCCCTACAGTTTTTTAATTTTCTCTTCTTGACATTTCTTATAAGTTAAAGGAATCATTGTAAACAACGATCTCAATAATTTAATCCCATATATGGTTTTGAACCAAATGGATAAGTTGTGGTAGACAGTTATAGATGGTACTTTATTCGTAGAATTTGAATTTTGGTTAAGATTTAGAATACCACTAGTTTTTGGCCAAATTTTTACATGTTTGAACTTGGTTAGTTTAGCTATTTTTAAATTTTTAAAAAGTTTATTTTTATGAAAAATTAGTATTGAGTTTTTTTTTTGAAATTGATTTAATCATAGGTATTGTAATTTGTGTAAGGAGGGCTCTCGAAAAAAATATTAAAATAATATAGGTAAGATAAAAATAAAATATTTAGAATGATACAATACTTACGAGAGAAACTGTATACTTTAAATTGTTATGTTTAACAAAAGCAACTAAGCCTAAAGCTAAATAAGTCGGATATACTTATCACCATCATGGGTATTCTTCACTCATCGGATGAGACTTTGCGGATGTGTTCAATTAAAGAAACGATAAATCATGTCTTCAATAAAACGATTTTGAGCGGAGTTTCAGTTTTTGTAAGACAATTTACTGAAAAATTATTAAGTTTATTAATATTACAAAAATAATTATTTTTTCATCCGTCAGTTTTATATCCCACTAATTTCTATTATCCGAGGACAGGAAAACATGAAAGGAAAAAATAATTGTTAGAAAAGAAAATTCCCAAAAAATTGGATGAAACTTTTTTTTAACATTTTCATAATTTTCTCTTACCAAAACATTTTCCATATTAAAGTCTATCTATATTTAAACTTCCATACAGTTTAGATTAAAAAAAAATCAAATTTTTCAAATTTTTCCCATATCTTAGAAAAAAAATTTAGAGAATTTCGAAATATTACCTCTTAAATATACCATTCAGAGGAAAATTTTGATTAAAAAATTGGCTGGTCGAAAATTTTGGACTAGTATTTCTGTTCAAAAATGTGTTCACATGAAAAAAAAATAAAAAGTAAACATCATTGTTAAACACTAGCTCCTTCATTCCATCTAAAATCTAAAATCCACAACTTTCCAGGTTATTTTATACATATAATTAGTTAGTATTAGTCAGTTATATATAAGTATATATACGTTTATAAAATACTCTGCCAACTTTTCAGTTAAGTTTAAATTAATATTAATTTTGATAACTAAAATAAAAAAAGTATATTTTTAAAAAATAAACTCTCATTCAAAACTATTTTGTTTTTTAAATATTTATTTTATCAACCATTATTTAACAAAAGAGCTACTTACTGTTCACAGGAGCAATTTGAAATATTTTACATAACAAAACTGAACACGAGTCGGGTAATACAGCTTTTTTTATAGTATTATTTATACCCAGGTATCCTAAGTAAAGACGTAAAGTATACTTTAATTATTTTTAATTTTGTTGGTGTATCGTTTTTCTAGAAGATACATAATTACATGTTACAATAGTGATAACCAGTAAGTAAGTACCTAGGCACCTAATATTAACTTTTTATAACAATTTTTTTAATAAATAAACATAGGTACCCACCTTCAACCTACTAGTATATTCATTGTAATTTGGCTATTCAATATAATAATTAGTGTTCGTTTGTTATCAATTTCAGTACCTATATTAAATTAAATAAAAAAATTATAATATATTCATAATTATTACCTATATAATTTTATTATGTATTCAGAATATCTATTAAGATTTAATTAATTTAAGGTAAACCGTTAAATTGTAATTGTAATGATTTTTTTGATATTACAGACTCAATGTGTTAACTGTCCATTCATTGGTGAATTTCACCTACCAAATTATTAAAACCTTGAACAACTTTTATTATATACACACAATTCTATTATATTGCTATAATAATAGTGAAAAGGTTGATAGGTTTAATACGAAAACTTATTTGTATTGGTAGGTATATAGACAATGCCATGTTACTTTTATTTTTAGCCTATAACTAAAATCTGTACTCAATATGTTATTATAGAGATCAAGAAAATTGATAACTTTTACAATTATTCTTTGGACTATCTTCATTATTATGTGGCTAGGGTTATCGTTATTCTTCAGAGTAATCAAGAAAAACACGTAAGATATTAATACACTCAAATAATCGTCGCAAAATTAATAACTGTTAAAATATTATTCAGCCAGTTCTGTTTAGCGAAAAAATGTGCTCCGTCTATGTGGCTTGTTGGAGGAGTAAGTAAAGTACAAAAGTATTGTACCATTAGGTAACTGTATTTACTGCACTACTCTATAATATATTATTATTTATTATTTATTAATTATATATTAAATATGTTTAAACATTTTATAATTTATGATCACAATACACTCTGCAATTATTAATGATTTCGTTATTTTATAAATTAAAATGATAAGGTATATAACTTTTAGGATAATAACCCCGTTTAAGCTTTACATTTTCAATTAAAAATAATTCTAGAATATAGGTACGCTTGGTAAGAAAATATAGAAACACTTCATCAATAAAACGTGTACAGGCTACAAATGAATAATTCCATTATTAAGCCATATTTTTTTTTACAATAACAACGGAATATGTTATAATATGTCTTACTTACATAGTTACATCAATATAATAATAATTGTATGTACAAATTATAATATTAATATTTAGTTCTAGAAAAATATTTTTAACACAAATATATGTTTTTGGGCTGGATATACGTTTTTTGTTTCTGGTCGATTTTCGTTGTTATGGTTAGGTACTTATTAACAAAAACTATTTAATATGAATTATGATTCTTAAATTAACTTTGTGGAGGAAAAATATTGAGTAACGTGCTGTAATAGTTTTTCGTCTCTTTTTGAATTAAGTAGGAGAAAGCGGGATATTATCGTATGTGAGGCTATGATAAGGTTGTATGAAAATGCGCCTAGATAAAAAAAATGATTTTTATTTATTTATTCAAGACTTTATGTTTATTGTTGTCGATAACTATTAACCTCATTTATAATAAATTCCCTCTCAAATTCCTATTATAACAAAATATGTATTATCACTATTTTTTTTCATGTATCATATTAAAAATGTTTTTACTTAATTTTGTTTGATGTCAAAAAAATGTGTCAAATCACGAATAAGGAAGCACAGATTATATAATAATATAATTTTGAGAAATATTGTTTATACTTTTTTCTTAATTACTGTTAGGTACTTTTAAACCATCTAGTGGCAAAACCGTCCAACATCTTTATATGGTGAAATCAGAATTGGAAATAAGCTTAAAACTTATTGGAATCTGAAGTATACCAAAACACTATTTGGTATTATGGGGAATATCGCCCCTTTAGGATCAGGGGTAGGTTACGTCACTCGTTGTTCTTTAATTTTTGTCCATGCCGTTGTATTGAAGGTATAGTTTAGATATGAACATGTCCAACTCTCTTTCCTTCTCTAGACCTTGAAATGATCCCCCTACTTCGCTAGACACCTACAGGGCAAAACCGTGTGTTTTAAGTATTATTAAGTTCATGTTTAGATTTTACAAAAAAATATTTAAATATCATAGAAGCTGACAACATTTGTAATATAGTTAAGGAATCCAATTTAAAATTCTGAAAATGTTATATTATGTTCTACAATGTTTAGAAGTTAATAGTAGGGTTCTGTCTCGCCTTCTTAACAGTTTTGCGAAAAATATTTTGCGACGACTATATTAATTACCTATTAATACTTGGGTGTTGTAGACATAAAACCACGTAGGTACTAATAAAATTTGTACTTAGGTACCTATTATAATAACAAAGTAATTTCAAAACATCTATTTTTGAAGTTGTTTGGCGAATCAAATTAATTTACTATACTAAAACGTTGAAGAATATTATGTTATATTATTCGAGCATTTTAAACAATTTTAAAATAATTTGGAGGGCGGAAAAGGCGGCGGCGAAGATGGAGGAGACGGAGAAGATAAAGGCGATGACGATGGCGGAGACGATAGAAGAAGACTACGGTGGAAAAATGACTCGCCGGAAATAACTGATAAGACCTTTCACCCGACGAAGGCGAACGTAATGCCGACCTCCTATGCTGCTACTCTTGATGCTGATACCGTCGTGTCAAATCAAAGGAGTATGATGATTGGTGTCAACAACGGATGTGGTCATCAACGGATAACGACCGAAAACCCGCCGAGCGATTTAATAACGCGCGTCATGGAGTACCGGAAAAATATGTCTTTGTATCGTCAATTTGCGGAGGCAGCGATACAACGGCACAAGAAAAAAGGGAGAAAAAAGGGTTTAGATGATGACGATGAGAAGGAGAAGGACAGTGATGATGGCGACTCGGATACAGAAGCTAGTAGTCCTCCAATAATAGACTTGTTGTTATTGGCAGTTTTTTTACGTAAGATTCCACAATTGTTTTCTGCCAACCATTTTCAGTCATCAAACTGCAGACTGCAGTGATGATGGCAATACGATGAGTATTAATGGGTGATGTACATGTAGATTATAGGACGACCCAGTTTATTTTTATCTTTCTACTTTCTATGTTAGTTATCTTACAGGTAGTTCAATGAGTTATCAGAAATATATGGTGCGCCACCAGCTGTATGTGGTGCAACTTGAAAATTTTGTAATTGGGGGAGGAAGGTAAATTTTAAAATGATTACTTTTTGATTCCTCTCCCCGAATATGCCTTTTGATAATCTTCAGTTAACGATTTATGTCGTATACCAAAAACAAATTTCCAAAAGAAAAAGTGGGTTTCCTCCGAAAAAACAACAATTTGACAAAATTATAATAATTACAAATTATTTACAAAATGTTGTAAAATGTACGCACCCTTGAAAATATATGCAATCAAAAAGTCCCGACAAAAATAATGGAATAACATAGTGCCATTCTTTAAATATTTAGTACATATAACTCGTTTGTAAATGCAGCCGTTGATTCTGCGGGTTGTGAGCATAATACTAACGTCAGGAGTTTAATTTTCGAACAAGTTTTTGAGTTATTAATTTATAATAGTACCTATAGTAGCACACGTGGTAGGAAGTTTTTACAACAACGATGGAGTTGTCACCTACTAATTACTATATAATGCAAAACTGTCACTGGTCACTGACGCCTGATACTCTGTACATTATACATTTATACCCATAGGTACTCACTAAATTACAAATATTAGTTTTTTTAATTTTCAATTTGATAAAATTTTTTGACATTTTCTATAGAAGTAAATTTTAACTTTTGACTTAAAGCTGGTGTTTACGAAAAAAAAAGTGGTGAATTCACTCGTCGATTGAGAGGGGTACCAACTACTAATGCTCCATAACATATCTTAAGGCACCAGCGTATGGTTATCGTTCGATTCACAAGGTTAAATAATGATCATATTCATTTACATAATGTTAATAATTTAATATCACATACACTATTTTGGTGTAAGGATTACACTTAACACTCTCAGATTTGAAATTAGCATCATAGTTTATTCATGTTATTTAACTCTAACTTTTTCTTATATTTTATACGCCAATAGATTAATATATGAACTCCGTGAACATCACCAATTGCAAGTTAAAAACATTGGAAAAAACTGGTTTTAGAAGGCGAACTGGTTATGTTCTTAACGTGTGTGGAGTATGGGTTCCTAACAGTATTACTATACTATATTTATTTATTAAACATATGTAAGATTGTTTAATGGGGGGGGGGGGCGAAGTTAGTCATAGTGTAATCCATGATCATAACATTCATAACTCATAAGAGTATAAAGCGCCATACCTAAAGTTCAGTGAACTCATTTTTTTTTTTATTACATTTTTGCTCCTTCATATTTTACTGTTTTTGTTGCAGTTTTGTACTTGTATGCGTTAAACGTACTAGTTTCCTATCACAGCGAATTGAAACTTATGTCAATTTGTAATTGTGATGATAATTTGAGACCTGGAACCAAGGCGCCGTGAAACAATACAGTACAATACTCATTACGCATTGTATATATACCTACATTAATATAGAAGGTGGCTGCAATAACTGAAGGCTTGCCAGCTTAATTTGAAAATGATTTTATTTGAGTGACTTTCATTATTTAGGTTTTAGTAAGTTTAAATAAAAAAATAAAAAAATAATCGGTTTGATTTATTCTTATAAGTATTAATATTATAGTGGTTATGAGGTAGACAGGGGTGTTATGGTACGTTAGGTTACCATTCAGCCGATTTTCGATTTTCGGCTTATACGGTGTACCCAATGTAAATTATCATTTTACGGGTTTACGCTCATCAAATAACTCGAAAACCATTGAAAACTTATTTAATAGTTCATAGGAAAAAATTGTTATGATGTTTTAATGGATTATTATCTATTAAAGGTAAAGTCGGGTTCTCAAGGTGTATGGCTCGGCGAACTTGACGCAACGCGGTTGTTGTACCTAGCCTACTTAATATGCTTGACATCTCATGAGCCACAGCCACACGACAGTATTTTATGTCTTACGTATTTTATGTTTGCATCTCGGTAACCACTGAAGCTATTAAATGTTAATCTGGCACTGGCCAATTGAATGGTTGATTATTAAAAACAATGTATTTATAAATTATTGTAATTGTAATAATGGGTATTTTCCATCTGGAATTTTGCTATGCGTTTGCAGCATATCGTTTGACAATAAGGACCGACTGCTCGTTGGTTGTATCAAAGTAAGTTAAAAAAACATTTAACATTTTCCAAAATTTAAGTATTAAACTTTTAAGATACTACAAATGTGTAAAATATATAACCCGTACAGTGTATCTTGACCACTAGTGTTCGTTTTAATTTTTATATTCTAAGAATTAGACTTATTACTCACTCCTAAGTCCTACTTTACTTACATTTTAAAAACTGAGTGTCGTATACCCACTTTTCAATGGTATACCTCTAGAGACGTTTGAGGCGCCAAAAGACCATAAATGAACCAGTTACAGATTAGATTGAAAGAATACAATAACGTAAGATTACCTTCATCGTTCAAACCTTAAATCCTCAACGAGCATAAATTAATCGGTTACAGATTAGATTCAAGGAGTACGGCAAATTGCGACTACTCAAAATAAAACATATACAATTTTTGGGTCGGAAACACTTTTATTCTTTAAAACAAAATAAACAAATGGTTGTCCGTACAGTGATCGTCACCTCATCCGTGTGAACGTCGATGGCACTCTCTCGACAACACACCCAGCGACGACGGGGACTCCTCCTTTCCTGCCCGTGGGGTCTTCTTATATCTATGTAATTTTGTCACCTCAGCCCATTTGGCTTCACAGGCTTGACCTATCCTAAAATCTTAATTGCTAAAAATATTCCCACCTAAGTAAAATAATTATAAGGACGACTGTCTACAATATACGACACTGAGTGGTCATTATTTTGTGGTAACATTATTGGCAATAGCTTGCAATAATTACACTCATGTAGTTTGTTAATGTATAAACACTTATATTACCTATTTATTCATTTGTATTATTTAAATTAAGATGAGTTGCCATACACGAAAACGAAAATCACCCCAAAAATGTTACAATGGCTTTTCTACTACGATTCTAAAGGTTCTTCCCTTGATAAGAAATAATTAAAATGTTTTTTTTTATTAAGAATTCGATGATAAAAAAATTTAAAATCCTAAGCCAGTTTTTTTTAGTTTTTTTGAGCGTAGCAATAAAAAATTGTTTAGGGTATATACCTACATATTTTATTAGTGCGTATATCAATAAATGTATTTACCAATACAATACTGGAGGTAGATATAAGTGTATAACTATATACCTAATAATAAGTATAATAAAATAAACATCGAGGAAAACAAAAAAAATAATAATTTAGTACCTTAACAATAATATAAATACGAAGTCGGACAAGAAGCTCTGAACTCTGAAGTACTGTTAGCTGGCGGTAAAATAACTAGACACTTCTTAGACATTAATTTAACGAGTTTATTCTTTATTCAGCACTAAAAATTAATGGTTCGGTGGTTACCTAAGTTAAAAGTAGATCTTACCGTCTTGAACACTGTCTCAAATACACTGGGGGCAAGTGGACAGTGGACACACGGCCCATCGCTTACAAGTTACAGTAGGCACTTATAGTTACAGTGTAGTAGGTACTTAAGTAAGGTAGCTAAGGAATAATGAACGTGTTCATTTTGAATACAACGATTAATCATTGCGACATTGCATATTGTATCTATATGAAACAACTATTCTGAGCGGAGACGGTGTGTTAGTCTATATTACATTATTACTAAGTAATAGTGTATTATTTTATATTTTTTTGATATCATTGTTATAGGTACTAAAGACATTTTACTATTAGTAATGCGGTTACAGATGTTACAGTAGATTGCATTATTCTTTGCCGAAAACATTCAATTCGAAAATGTTATTGCATTGTGTTTATAAAATATAATAATACTGCAAAAGTTTCAAGTACCCACGAATAATATTTTTAAATTAGAAAAAAATTACTCAACTTGTTATTCTTTATTTAAATATCTAATTTCGTTCAAATTTGAACTAAAATCTATAAAAAAACTGTGTTAATATATTTTTAGATTTTTTGGTTAAAGAATAAACTATTTATGAGTAGTACTAACTATTATTGAAAACTTCTGCGACTTTTCAATTTTGACCCCTTAAAATAACAACTAGTTACTAGATTCACTTTTCCTTCAAAAAAGATACTGAAGTTGAAAATCGAAGTATTATTTCGACTATACCCATGTATTATGCATACAGACACAAATAAAAAAAATAAAAACAACACATCATTGTAAAATTAATACATTCATCGCTTCCTTCAGAATCTAAAATTAATATTAACATAATTACCTATAACTATACCTATAAGTATTCAAATTTACAATATACTATAAGTCTATAAGGGTTTTATATTTTGAAGAGGTATTACACATTTATACCTGAATAATTTCACATTTTTACATATAACTAAAAAATAAATTTACCTATTCTGGATACAATAGTATAATATTATATAATAGGTTATATTGGGCATTGGCATTATTTTATTACGTTCCGTTACTTTTTTATTCTAAAGTTCTGCATTATAAATAAAGTTACTTTTTGAAAAATGAATTAAAAATGTATTCCAAAACAACTAATTAGTAATAATGTTATATTTCTCTTTCGTAGCTGTATGCACAAACATTAATGTGAATAAAACGGTATTCTGAGTCTACTACTGCCATTATTCATTAGCATAATAGAGAATTTTTTTTTTAGTTAAAAATAAATGGGTCCAGAACTTGTAGGATTTACAAATCTTATAATATGCTTCCCATCGACTTCTAACAGTTTGGAAACTCAGTGTGTAAATAACACATATTTTCAATGCTTATCTACTGTTCATCGTTTGGTATTTCGGTTGAGGATTGCCCAACTGCATAGACGCAACTAGCGAATTTTTTCCGGGAGGGCTAAAATGATATCAGCAACACAGACCTTGATACTTGATATTTTAAACTAAAATATGATTAAAAAACTATGGGATTAAGGCATTAAGCCCCACAAGCTCTCCTAATCGGGCCTATGTCCAAATAATTCTCTTTTATATTAGGTACCACTAATTGTGGCCCAATCCTAAGACAATTCTTGTTTTGCGCAACAAAATTAAGACCTACTAACAAAAATCTGAAACACAGTCGTTATAAATTTTAATAACAATTCATATTCAATATAAATTACATTAATATTATATTATTATAAGCTGAGGCCGAGTATATACGAAAAAAAGAAAATGAACATTAATAAAAAATTTCACGAGTCAAAGTATTTTGAAAATTTGATGGTGTATATTAAATGTGAATGCAAATATTCAGTAAAAACGTCATGCATTAATAGTTATGTTTTTTAGAGTTACACATAAGACCATAATCGATTTTTCAAAAACTGGTTTTGCGTAAAAATTCCCGTTTTTCCTTAAATTGTTGTTTGTTTTTCCTGTCGCTTTTGAAAACTGTTAGAAATTTAAAATTTTGATCTCTCGAATACACCAACTGGATTCACTTTCCTTCTAGAAAATTTGTTGTTGAAGAAAATCAAAGAACTTTTACTGCTACCAAACCGTGTGATGACAGACACAAAAATAAAAAAATATAAAAACACACATCATTGTGAAATCAATACATTCATTGCTTCAATCAGAATCTGAAATTGGTTAAAAAGTCAATAGATTCACTATTCTATATAGTGATATAGACATAAAATACATATTTTATCATAAGTAACTCTGAAGCTATATAGGTAAAGTTAAAAGAAAATAATTACAAATACCTAATAATATAGCATAATAGTGGGTAGGTAATGGGTATCTTCTTTTCAAAGCTGTATATTATTGATTACTCATTTGCAATTAAATTAATGTAACAGCTTTATTAATGGTAATGACAATAGCAGATTTAAGTGGGGCCCCTATGCCCAATCAGATGTTTGCACATGGTATCAAAAATCCCAGGATAAAAATCTACAGTGGCATTATATTGGTGATTAACTAAGTATAAATAATTTATTTTACAAATTATATAATATTAAAAATAAAATAAATATTGTATACTATTTATATGAATATATTATTTACATTTTAATTTATATACTATTATTATTTATTATTATTATCATTATTATTATAATAAGCTTCGGTAAAGTGGCATAAGATTTTTTTATATATATAATATAGGGTAGGTACCTATTATTATAAAACAATTTTTAACATAATATATAACATTTATTTATTATTTTTATTGTTATTACAACCATTAACCCTAGATATCGTGGCTGACTAGGTAATATACATTAGTACGTAAGATTATACTACCATCACATAAATCATTTACATTTTAATTTATACACAATTTTTAGTTATTATTATTGTAACTATACGCTAAATATTGCTGTTGAGTTGCAAAAACCTAGAGCGCATACGACAAAATAGCCAAAAATCCTTTCTACATTTGTAAAAATTAACTTTTAAACATTAAGAAATTTTAAATGTTAATTATATTTAACTAAAAAAATGTATTTAAAAGTAAAAAAAATTTGATTTCATGTAACTTTGAGATGAATTTGGTTGTTTTTTTTATTAACTTATCGGATAACTAGGTTAGTCAATGCAAGGTTTAATATTGATGTACAAACTGTTTATAAGGAGTTAAATTATTCAATATAAGCAATTTTCTAGGTTGTGTAAATGTGTAAGTAATAACTAACAAGTAGGAATTCATTAGTACTCGTGAATACTGCAACAACTTAAAAATATGCACAGTACAAGATTTGTCATAATGCAATTGTACATACAATTTAAATAGTTTATAGAAAATCTAATTGTTGTGACTATTGAAGTAGAAAACATCTATGGAAGTCGTCAAAATAAAATTGGTATGATCAGCAAGCAAAAGGGTGAATTCCCTGGTATAATATTATCATAGCAATCATGTTGTATTTTAATAGTGGCTGAAGTATACTTACAACTTAAGTCATATAATAATATATATTTGACTTGTTTTGAAATAATAATGTAATACAATAAATAAAGCCTGGATTTTTATGCAAACATTTTTGTTAAATATTCACTTAAAATTTCAAAAACATTTTCATTGCAAGTTAAAAAAATTACAAAACATGTCATGCAGAAATAAAATACAATTTATACATCAGTATTATTCCTGGAAAATGAAATACCAATTTTGGAACATAAATCATAATTTGAAATTTCTGCGATTGTCACTTTACATAAAAGATTTATTTTAGAAAATGCATTTTGTAAAACGAGCGAAAAATAATAAAAATTCATCAACTTTTTATAAAAAATGTAAATTTTATTCAAATTATTTTATAGAAATATGTAATTTACAGTCATTAATACTCGAATATGCAAAAATAAAATGTAACCAATCTACACAATATAAGATTTGAGCATTTTGAATCAAAATAATTCTATGTGAATTGTTGAAGAATACATGGATTTGAATAAAAACCGGTCCTTAATAATCATAAAAAAAATATTCACAATATTAAAGCAGACTTAAGAGGGTACTACAATCATAAGTAATTTGTGTACAATATTGTATATTATCACAAAAAAGGAACACTTGGTCAAACTATGTTTAAAATAGGAAAGTAAAAAAAAAAACGGATCTGTAAGCACTATACAGATGTGATATCATAAATAAATACTAAATAAATTGAATTAAAATACACATATTTTTATTTTGTTTCAATAATTAATTTACCTGGCGAGAAATTATATATTTCATGCAATGTGGCAAACAAAATAACACAAGCAAAATATACAAAAAGCATTAGAAGTTCATCTTAATTTAAAATATTTTAATGGACATTTATACTCAAAATAATTTCTCACCACCAAGTAAATACATTTTTGAAACAAAATAAGTGTATTTTAATTTTATTTACTTAGCATTCATTTATGATATTACATCTTTATAGTGCGTAAAGATATGTTTTTTACATGTAGTTTGATGAAGTGTTTTGTTGTGATATCACCAATTTTTTACATCAATCATTTTTGTTTCAATTTTTCTTGGGAAACTCCTGCTTTGAGATACATTGTCGTGCCACCGCTATATTTTTGTTACTTAGCTTGTTCTATCGCTGGATACATTATTTATTAAAATACATTTTAATAGTAATAATCACTACTTCATTAGCACACATACATAATGAATTAATATATTATATTCTTTTTCAATAAAATTAAGTTAATAAAATAAGAGATGAGTCAATAATTTTAGCTTAGAAACGGTTTTATTACAAGACAACTTATATTTCTTAGCAGGCAGTTTTTCATACTAAAGGTTCATTAAAACATGTTTTAAATAAATAGAGGTACATGTTATGTCTTAAGTGTCTATACATATTTTTTTAATAAATAATTAACAAAAATTAAAGTTACCTAATATATGGAAGCAAACAAAGCCTGTTGCAGACACATAATGATAGTTTTGATGTACCAACACTAATGACAGCATTAGTAAATTAATCCAAAAATTTAATTTAAAACTTATCGTAATTCCTAAAATTAATTTATATGCCAAATATTTAGAAAAATATATATAACTTAAAAATAATAAAATAGTATTTAGTTGTACAAGTTTAGAAATCATTAATTTTTTTTAATTGATGACGGCGCTGTTTAGCATATCTGATCCATTCCTTGATGTACAAATCAACAGTTGGCTTTGCAGCATTTTTGAATTTTTTTTTTGATATATCTAAATAAATAATACTTAACAATACATAAACTTATAAAGAGCATTTTTTTCAATATTTGAATAAGAAGGATATTTCTTATCACAAAGTACAAAGGTACATACCAAAAATAAGTTTGATGGTTTTTAAATGTTCAATTTGAAAATTTCCTCGAAATCCACGCCAAGAAAATTTGCCTGCTAAACAATACGTAAACAATGTACGTAACATTGTTCTAACAAAGTTTTTTAATTGCATAGTATGGCCAGCATCTACAGGAGTGATGTATGAAACCTGTGAACAATAAACATTTTAAAATAAAATTAATGTAATATAAAATACATTAAGATCTAATATAATATGTAAAATAATATTAGCTTAGTTATAAATCATTTTTATCATATTTTTTTTCTTTACGTCTTGGTAGGTTTTAATCAAATGGAAAACTTTTTTAGTTCCTTCTAAATTGACCACTAACAATTGATACAAATGCTGTGATCATTTAAGGAAAAACAAATCGAAGTACCTTTATTTTTAATTCATTGGTTGATTATTAAAAACACAGTACCTATTATAAATTACTACTCTAAAACAGTGTCAGATGGAAAAAATATCAAATAGCTTGTACAGTTGTAATGCTCTGCGCCGCCTTTAGCCAACATTTTGTGTATTGCTATGCAACAACTATATTATACAAATAATAATATAAATAAATGATAAAAGAACTTACAAACTTTTGAGTAAAATCTGAACTATCATCTGCTAGCCTTGATTCAAGTTCAATGACATCTTTTAATTCTTTTAATGGAAACATTAATAAAAAATGGTCATAGTCCAATGTTGATGATGGCACTATTTCAGATTCTACATCATTAAATTTTTGTGCTAAAAAGTTCAAGTTTGAATTTATTCTTTTCATACATTTCCAAATACTGTAAGCGAATAAATCAAAGTTTTCTTTTGAATCTAAAAAATAATAATCAAAAATTAACAAATAATAAATTTGATGCATGCATTTTATTTACCTTGATCAGTGGTATCTTCAGGTGAAATATTACGGGAATCCTCATCACCAAATTCGCTTGGAGATTTTTTACAAACTATCATTTTTTTACTATCTATACAACTATCCATACGGCTATCATTACAACTATCCATACGGCTATCGTTACAACTATTCATACTACTGGAAGACATACCGAACAAAAAAAATATACCTATAGAAAAAGTAAATATACGCACCGTTAAAATCACGTTATTGTAAGGAATAATTGGCAAGCAACACGATTTAATGATGCACTTACTATAATAATGGTGCTGTGAGAATGAAATCAATAGAATGCCCAGATCGTCAGCGTTTTGTACAATGTTAATTCGACTGTTTCGGTACTACTGACTGTCATCCACATATTTCAGATGGTGAGAGCTGCGGATTCCTTAAACGGTTCAGAGTCGCTGTTGTATACACATTTGATTGAGAGAATGGCAACAATAAAATGCGTTGCTTGGAAAACGTGCGAATCGGTTGCTGATAGTAGTGACAAACAAACAAAAAACACTGGCGGCAAACATTATTGTGAGGCTGATAGTGTTGTGGCAAGACGTCTTTACTGATAACGGTTCTGTAAACGTTCTCGATCAGCGTGTTCGGAACAAAGTGATAAACAAAGAACCGCAGTGGTTTTCATCGTTTTGGCGGTAAAATTATTTCGTTATCACCGTTATTTATCCATCGTTATTATCACGACTGTAATACATTATTATTATCATTATTACGCTAAAATAATAATATTTGTTATTTAATATATTGCTTATTTATTTATTTAAAAATAAAAATTTCTATTAAATATGAATCTTAAACATTATTATGTAATTTCGATTTTTTTATGTGGTTTGTTGACTGTCTACTAGAAGCGTTTATAATTTGTTCATTTTGGTAAGTCTTTGAAGTCAAATGTGTTACTTATTTACGGCCATTTAGTCCAAATATACAAACATATTTTTTCCATCCAACTCGTTCTTCTGCCATACTCTACGCAGTTTTTTCCCGTTCAAAAATCTCTTTGACTTGTCTACCCTCCTCTCTCCTACTAATTAACATGTACTATTTTTCATTTATGTTAATATAGATAGTTACTTTTTATCGCTTCTTTAAGTTTTGTGCTCTAACTTTTCTTTTTGTTCTTATTTTTCCTTAGAAAGACCATATTATCTGCATTTTCTAAAAACGTATTGTTGATTTCTCCAATTTTTAAATCTGTCATTCAACAATTCCATGATCAATCTGATTTACATTTACACCTTCTGTTGATTTCCATGTACCTTTATTAAATATTTGTATGGGTAAAATAAAATTGTTCTTACCTATAATTCTAAGTGTCTTCCATTGGCTACTATTAACATTCATTGTTTCTTGAATACTGTAGTTGCCAATTTTTAATTCAAATGCTTGTGATTTTCCTATCCTAGCAATATGTCACTTAGTATGATTCATGTCATGCTATTACCTAGATATATTTTCTAAAATACCTTATCAATTATAATAAAAATGAAAATTTTCCTCTTATATCTTTTCTTCCTCTTCAATTAAAAACATTATGTTAATCCATTTGGCCTCCGTTGTTCAGAAAATTATTCCATATTTTTTTACTTGAACTCCTTTATTGCTATACTTGTGCCGCTGAGAGAGTGCTACTGGGCGGCTACCAAAACTCGTACGATCCAGCTCTTTTCCATCACTAAACCTGCCGTCTAGAGTAGGAGAAATTTGAGTACAAAATCTGAAGCTCAGTAATTTGGATACCAATGAGTAGATCTCTCTCAATGGTGCGAGTATAGTATTAGACTTTTATGAATGTAAGCCCTAAATTATCGCTATTCGTTAAATTAATTTTTTGAAAAAAAGATTTTCTTACAGTCCTTTATCAATCAATCTTATTTATTGTAGGTAGCTATACTATACTGAGTTTATAATTCACTATTTTTTCAACTACTGGTAAGGCTGAACAAAAGCCCATGTTCCAAAAACTAAAGCAAGTTTCATGTCTATAACATGTTTTTTCTCTTTATTCCACATGTCATAATTATTATAATGTTGCTTGTTTCCTGAACTAAGTGTTTTTACGAGGTAGGATCATTCATTCTATTCACAACACCATTAGCTCAATTAGATCGATAGAAACTTATCACCCCTCCCTCGCCCCAGTTTATTGCAGCTGTTATAATTCTAGCCCTCCTCCCTCCCAAAAAATGCCTCTAGTTGAGTCTAGGTACAACACCAACTCTGAAGAATTTATCCACACTATTCACTTCAAGTCAATGTGAAGCTGTTGCAAAACACTTTGTATTGTACTGACCCACGAGAACCCTACACTGCTCACTGGAGTCTGCGGACTTTAGCTCCCATTCCCAATTGAGGCACTCCATTTGGGTATTTAATATATTATGTTAAATTACAAAACATTATTTCGCTTTGTTAATTTTATAACGAGTGTTTAAAATTATGTTTTTGTTTAATAATAAAGATATATCTATTCTATTTTTTTAGATTTATGAAGATTATAGATACCATTAACCAACCATGCAAAAGTATATGTCTAAATCTGAAGTTCGGTGTGCAAGTTTAATGAACAATGTATTGGAAGAAAACATAAATACAAATGAAATTTTGGAAAAAATTAGATCATTTGAAGAATGTGTAAGCTTATAATTTAATACTTTTAGAAATCTTACATTCTTGATGAATTTATATATCGATGGTTAAACGACAAAATTACTATGTGGCACATTTCCTAATTTTCTAACAAACCTAGAAAAACAACTTTAATAGTTCTTAATGAATGATATAAAATACTTAACCACTTAATTAAATGTATTAACTAAAATGACTGTTAGAAATTAAATATATACAATGTAATATATATATAAACAATACATCTAACCTTCTTCGTCAGTCTTGTAATAAATCACGTATTTCCAGTCAAGATTTCATACATAAGTATTCTTGGAATCAGCCCATTTGTTTTTGTACAACAGTGATTAATATATTTTGATTTATGTGTGCATTGGTGATCAAAGTTGACCAACCATAAGGTGACCATACAACTTAAAATTGTATAAAACACTACTGTAGCAATGTAGCATTAACAAAATCCACTGATATGTTGATGTATTAAGGATACCTATTTACAAACCCTAACTGAGCTGGGGAACAAGTCCACAAATCAAGTAAGACCCTGTAGTGTTCATGTTCACTGTGTTCCATTATTGATTTAGGTCACAATATTAAATATTTGTGTAGCAGGGTTATTTTAAGTACATATATCATTTTTCAAATTGTTAACCATAAAATTGTTATTGTGTATTCTATATTCAAGTTAACATATTGGGTACATTGATAGTGCAATTAAAATGTATAATCATATAACTGTTGTAACTAATACAAACTATATTGTTAGTATTTTGTTCTTATCTAAGTATTTATCGAGGTATTTATAAACTTCAATAACTTAATGATAATATGAAAACAATTAAGCTTAATAAATTAATAACTAACTGAATTATTAAACTAATAAATTTACATTTCATATAAAGAATAATTAATATTAAGGAGGTACATTGGGTAGTCAAATTATAAAAAAAGTTTATGTTTAGAACAACAATTTTATTATTAAAACACTGTAGTCAATTGCATAACATATTAAAATATTTATATAATTATTATTTTTTTACCCTTATTATGTTATTACCAGGGTACCTACTTTAACCTGATTTTGAATTTGACATCTTTTCTTCAATATCACTAGCAAGATTTCTTTTAGTATTTTTTGACTATAATGATAATTAATAATTTCTAAGTTATTAAATATTATAATATATTTTATATATACTATCAATGTAAGTACCTAATATTTCACTTGAATGTAAAATACACGACAACAGTTTTATACTATCAATTTAAAAAACCATATACCTACCTATGTAAATATAATGAATAAAGATAGGCACAAAAAGTATGCTTGTTTTAGAAATATTTAATAGTGTGACCTAAATCAGTTATGGAATGTAGTGGAGCACTACATGGAAATCCAACTGGATTTGGTCACTAAAGCCTTAGGTCATTTAGAGTCAGTATCAGCATAAATTGCAATAAAGAGTGGAAATTTTTTTTGTATGATAAATTATAATAATTTATTGTTATATTTATGTCTGTTATACCTCTTTTTTGAGTAAGCAAAATATGCTGTTGTTTGTATCTTAAAATTAAAATGTATGTAGTTGATTAAATAATGGTCATAGCTATTTTTGCGCTTAAATATTGGAATAAATACATTTTACTCCATGTAACAGTATTAATCATGTGCCACTAGACCCACTTTCCATGTATATCATAATATGTAATTAAGTTATTTTCAGAAAATGTATTCATTTATAATTTATGTAATATAGAACATTCGTCATGGTGTTGGAAAAATAGAATTTACATTTTATGTGATTGATTTTGTTCATAATAAGACTATGCAGTAAGTAAATGGTTATATTCATTTTTATTATAGAACTGAACTATAATTATGTTTATTAAAAATATATCTATTTTATTAGGTATGTAAATCAGCCAGATGAGAATGAGACTGTTATAAACAACGCCTTTAATGTGCCAGAAGTTGAATCACCGATGGTGAAACGTATAATACCTAAAGTATCCACAACAAAAGGTTCCAACAATCAAGGCAAAAAGACAGTTCAAATACATTCGGTGACTTCAAAAATGAACAAAACAAAAATAATTGGTAAGTTGTTAATTTTGTAAAATAATTTTTATAGTTTATTTAAATATAAAATAGTTTAAAATATTTTCATTTTTATAGAATGTAGAACTGTTTGAAATGGTTTCATCAATGAATTGTAAACAGATTATATTCTTACACATTATTAAATCAAACATAATCACTTATTAAAATAAATTAAAAACATATTTTTTCTAAGGTTTTTTTAATGAGTGTACTAATATATTGAGTGTCTAGTTTAAAGAAAAACAGCTGTTTCAATAATTTAGGAACTATTTAAATTTGAATCTGTTCTTTCATTACAGAAGAAAAATACACATTATTAAATATTTATAATAAAAGTTAAGGATTTCAAAACTATACGTTTATTGATTGTAAATCTTCATTAATATTTAAACAAGTAAAAGTTATTATGTGTTTAATTTTTCAGATACCACTAAGAAAGAACGAAGGAGTTTGGATATATTGGGAAGTCTGTATGCTGCGATGATAAATTCTAATATATTATGTAATTTGTTTCATGAATTGGGTTATGTATTTACACTTCTTGCAGTGAAAAATCATGAAATAAAATTGAATGATGACAGTTTTAGTCCAAATAATACGTATTTCAAATCATCTGATGATTGTCATTATTTTGCTTCAAAAACTATAGAACAATTAGTTTCAATTTTAAGTTATTTGGAAAAACCAATAATTAATCTAATTTTAAAACAGAAAGTCATCAACTTATATGTACCAGAATTGGCTAAAACATTCGAGAGTAAATTTAACACATCAGTTAGTAAATATAT